TATATAAATAAAATTCGTATAAAATCCCTTTCTTGGAATATGAGTATAAAAATTTCCCAAAGTGTTAACAAAAGTGTCCTCTTTCCAATGAACCAACCCGTTTTGAAAAATAACTTTTAGTTTTTGAGAAAACAATATTTGAAGTTTTGATAAAATTTTCGATGTTGTAATTTTCATCGATAATTTTCAAAATTCGCTATAAAATTAATTTTTTGAAGGATCCTTGTGGAAATATCACCAATTATTAATTAAAGTATTCCCTTTTTAATGCAAAAAGTCGTTTTGAAAAATCACTTTTAGTTTTTGAGAAATAAACACGTTTTCCCACAAAACAGATAGTATTTCTAATTTGGACTTGCGATTACAAATTATTACGATTAACCGAAGGAAAACTCTAGCTTTAAGTGGTTAAACAATGAACCTCGGCTTAATTTATTAAAAGATCTACAACTTTATCTGCGATATCATAGCAAGTTTGAGAGGTTGATATATTTTTAATTACTGAATTAATCAGAAGATCTATAAGTTACTTTGATATGTATTTTTTGTGCTGAAATATTCGGGCTAATAAGAAATATAAATCGATGTGTTTTAACTCATGACGATATCTCAAAGTGTTTTTAAATTAGATAGAAGAGGGATAACTTTTGACCCGGACTGTATATTATTATTTTACCTATATATAAATACCTATATATATATTTTACACAATAAAATAAAGACGCGACGTCTAGTCGATAGATCGATGTCTTCTAAATCGATTTTTGCCACCGACATTAAGGTTTATCTGTTTTAACAGCCTTGACATTAGTAATAAATTTTGCATTCAAATGCATCAATTTTCCATCAGAAAATAAGTACAATAAAAAATAAACCTCAGTTATTATACAGTCAGTTATACATCAGTTATAACACAAAAAAAAGTTAACTTCTCTTCTTATTTTTTATGTCTCTTAGTTATGAATAAAACATTACCATCCATTGTAATTATTGCAATTACGTTACAATATTAACTGGAGTTGAAACTTCTTATTGGCAATAACTTACCGTTAGTGAATGTATGTTTCTATGATATTAGAAAACTCAACAATGTCAAGTACATTTAAAGGGCAAGAGTGAAATTAAAAGAGATAAAAATTTAAATCGACTATTTTTTTATTTTTGCTACATAAACGATTTACATCTAACGTAACACAACCTTAATATCACCGCGTTTACCTTATAACGAACTAAAAAAAATCGGTCTTGAGCAAAAACATAATTTCAGCGTACTACTTTTCGGAACGATTACTAACTATTTAAGAGTTGCATAAGAATTTTTCCTTAATTCTAACAGTAATTACAAAAATTTCTATTTTTAATTCGTATACATATAACTTTTAGTTCCAGTATATAGTTTCATTAATCGAAATTTCGTTGATGTCGTATCATGTTTAACGGTGGGGTTAAAAAACTTATGAATACCGTTTGTTAAAACATAAATAAACCCTTGATTATCAAACGAAAAACTATCGGGCCAAATTATCGTGCTGTTATTTTCCTCGATGATTTTCGTCGAATTAATCGGTTCGTAAATGTTCCATTTCGCTATTCCATAAGAATCTAATAATCCATAATAAAGATTTCCTTCGTTATCAATGGCTAAACCGTCAGATTGACCTTGTTTTTCACCTACAGCTCTTACGTATTTCCTCCACATCGATCCCCTACAGAATTTTTCGTTCTTAAGAATTCTAGTGCTTATTGCGTATAAATTCACAGCGGATAATGCGCAATAATAAACCAAACGATCTTGTTTTTTATTTACTGGAATCGGCGATAAAGCTATACCATCAATCGGGACCAATTGATCATTATAAGAACCATCAACTGTAAAATTAGAAGCTTCGATTTCTGCAAACATTGTTTTATCGCGTAATTTCCAAGCTTTATCTTGCGATCGTGAATAAACGATTAATCCGGGATCATTTGAGCTTGCTTCTGTTATATAGGCGTAACCACCATCCGTTTCATCGATTACTATATCGTTTAAGAATCCCCCACGAGCCGAAGAAATTTCTTCGGAAAATTCAAAAATGTGTAATAATTTTCCACGATTTTCTAAATCTAATAACACTAATTTCGGTGGGCATTTCGTGTAGTTATTAAATCGATTTCCATCTAAAATCCACATCACTCCTTTCGAATCGATTTCCATACTTTGCACATTTTGGAGGGTAGCACAATTGCTTCCACTATGCATCCTCCAAGTTGGATAAGGTCTTATCAAAACATTTTTTCTTCCACGAGAATTTTGCGAGATATACCCCAACGTAACCGCAGCCCCTTCTTTTAATTTTGGTAGCGCCAAATAAATGTTTCCGTTATAAATCTTCACCCCGGCGATACAATTATTTTCGGGGATATATCTCCCGGTATCGACGGCGTTTTTATAATCATCTTGATTAGGCCAGGTAAAATTCACATAAGTCCATTCGAAATCGACTTCGAATCGATCGGTGTTTCTTTTAAATTTGAGCGCGTTGCTCGAATCCACATCCAAATTGATCGTATTTTGTATCGCGCAATAACTAACAAATATAAATCCGAAATATTCGCACAAAAAACTTCCTGGTCGATCCATTTTCACGGTTGGAAATCCGACGTAAACTGAACGTTTATTGTCCTATCGTCTATATAAAGTAGCGTTAAAGAAGTCGTTATGTGTGTGATTGAAGTGGGGATCGTCGTCGCGTGTTGATTTCGAATCGGTTTTGTGCGGGAAAATGTGACATCAACTTTCGATTTTTCATTGAAATAAGGAAATCGAAGATGTTATTATGTATATGGATCGTGTTTTTACGATCGGTTGATACGGTTAATGAAAAGGTTTCTTAAATGTCTTTTTATGTTACATTACTTCCTAATATGGGAGCTTATTTTGTGATTAAAACTTTCTTTTGTTGAATTTAGCCGTNGATGGTGCTTAAACAGGAATAATGCTAACACAACAAAAATGCATTCAGACATTTAAATCAATGAACTGAAAATGAAAGGAGTATTAAAAAAAATTAATGAAAAAGTCATTCTTACTAAACAATAGTCTCCAAGCGTTATACTAAGTGTGGAAATTTGAGTGATAATAAATATTGCTAATCGCTAGTTATACATTTTTTCTACCTGCCTAACAATTTGTGAATGTTAACAAGAAAAGTGTTACTCTTTTGGAGCAAACCATCCATTTTCATCCATTTTTGTGGAATAAGTGGTTACTGAACAGAGCCAGACAAAGATAAGTAGTATTTCCCAACTAGACACTTCATCTGTTTCCTTGACCAGTTGTGCTGCGTGTGATGGTGCATTATCATGAAGAAAAACACTTTGTGTAGACTTTTTTGTTATTTTGGTCGTTTTTTACACAAAGCTTAATTCAAATAAATCATTTGTTGTCGGCTGTGGCCGGATATTAAAAACCTATTACTTAGTACTCCACCATTCACAGGAATTAGTATCTTTTTTAGGTGTTAGGCACTGTAGATAATAATCAAGTTCAACCCCAATAGGACTTATTTCATTAAATACAACTTTATTTATCATTAGCAACCTTATTGTAACAGTTGTTGCAGTTTCGTCTAGTTTTCTTCTCTTCGTACAGAACTGTCGCTGTTATCACTTTCGATTATTAATTAAAGTATTCTCTTTTTAATACAAAAAGCTGTTTTGAAAAATCATTGTCAGTTCTTGAGAAATAAATTTTTGAAATAATCGACAATTTTTTCGAATTTTGCAATTTTCGCCAATTAAGTTTTAAAAATTCGTATAAAATCCAGTTCTTNGCGGGAAAATGTGACATCAACTTTCGATTTTTCATTGAAATAAGGAAATCGAAGATGTTATTATGTATATGGATCGTGTTTTTACGATCGGTTGATACGGTTAATGAAAAGGTTTCTTAAATGTCTTTTTATGTTACATTACTTCCTAATATGGGAGCTTATTTTGTGATTAAAACTTTCTTTTGTTGAATTTAGCCGTGTGTCTAAAGAAAAAAGCCGAAACTTTCTAGTTGTAGGTCTAGTGTTAATTCTAGTTTAATGAAAAATATACAACAATAGAACTAACACTAGACCTAGAACTAGAAACATTCGGGTTTAGCCGTCTTAAGAGACGTGCGGCTAAACCCGAATGTTTCTAGTTCTAGGTCTAGTGTTAGTTCTAGTTGTAGTTCAATGAAAAATATACAACAATTTAACTCTGAATAACAACTAAAACTGGAACTGACACTAGCACACAAAAACAAAACACTAACACAAAACTGGATTCCAGTTCTAGTGTTAGCTCCACTTTTAGTTCAATAATAATATACTATAATCTAACGCTGAGTAACAGTTAAAACTAGAATTAACTAACACTAATCACTCTCATTCTCAAAAACCATAATGGATGACTTATTCGGATTAATATTTAGGCACAGTTAGGAAGCACGATGAATTAATCTGTCTAAATTCTAAAATCATCATTAATATAACTCTGAGCAGTATGCACTTGAGTAGGATCAAAGGAAAAATGAAGCTGAGTGTCATTAGCATACATATGTATATCGCAGTGATGCAACATATCAAAACGATTACTAGTATAAATTAAGTAAAGAATTGGTAGAAGTAGAAATTTTCCCTCAGGAACGCCAGACAACACAATAGCCTCATCAGACCAGTCACCATCAAGAGAAATTCTCTGTCTGCGATTCATTAAGTAATATTCAAAAAAAGTACAAGCACTGCGCGATAGACCGGCATGACAAAGAATTACGAAAAGCGTTGGTGGACTGTAACAAGAACCGTGGCCCTGCCAATATCCCTTCCTCTGATAATAGTATCAATAACTTCCAAGAGTGCAGTAGCACAACTGTAGCCCACTCTAAAACCAGATTGGGTATTAGGCAATATGGAAAAGGTTTCCAAATGTTTTCTTAGTCGACAAGCGACAATTCGTTCTAATATCTTAGATATTGCAGGTAATATACTGATCTTCTAGTCTTTGGTATCGGTGCAACCAAAGCAACCCTCCAGAAAACTGGAAAAACAGAAAACTCAAGACGCTAGTTGATGATGTGGCTATATATAAGGCAAGATAAGTGGACAACACAGTACCAGCATTCTTGCACTGCTACCATCGAAACTATTGATGGAACGGATAGTGATTTTGCAAATAGAAGGACAATTAACACTTTGGGAAATTTTCTTACTCATATTACAAAAAGTGGATTTTATACGAATTTTTAAAACTTAATCGGTGAAAATTGCAAAATTCGAAAAAATTGTCGATTATATCAAAAATTTATTTCTCAGAAACTAAAAGCGATTTTTCAAAACGGCTTGTTGCATTAAAAAGAGAATACTTTAATTAATAATTGGTGATATTTTCACAAGGATCCTTCAAGAAATTAATTGTATAGCGAATTTTGAAAATTATCGATGAAAATTGCAACATCGAAAATTTTATCAAAACTTCAAATATTGTTTTCTCAAAAACTAAAAGTTATTTTTTAAAACGTGTTGGTTCATTGGAAAGAGGACATTTTTATTAACACTTTGGGAAATTTTCATACTCATATTCCAAGAATTGGATTTTATACGAATTTTTAAAACTTAATCGGCGAAAATTGCAAAATTCGAAAAAATAGTCGATTATTTCAAAAATTTATTTCTCAAGAACTGAAAGTGATCTTCAAAACGGCGTTTTGCATTAAGAAGAGGATACTATAATTATGTAATAATCGAAAGTGATAACATCGACAGTTCTGTACGAAGAGAAGAAAACTAGACGAAACTGCAACAACTGTTACAATGAGGTTGTTAATGATAAATAAAGTTGTATTCAATGAAAAAAGTCCTATTGGGGTTGAACTTGATTATTACCTGCAGTGACCAACACCTAAAAGAGATACTAATTCCTGTGAATGGTGGAGTACTAAATAATAGGTTTTTAATATCCGAATATTTGGAATTTGGATATCCGGATAGTTGCCGGATATCCGTTCCAGCACTAATCGAAACCAATCGCATGAGTTTTAATTGAAAGCAACATGTCTTATAACCTCCTGCTCTGAGAATGCTTACAATTTAACCAGATATTTTTCAAAATTAAAAAACAGCTCCTAAATAAACGAAAATAAAAGAAAGCCATAACAATGTTTATATAAGAATATATAAATTATTATAAAAAAAATATAAAAATTAAGGAATAATATTGTATATAGGCACAAACATGAGGGAGTCAAACTAGGTTCGCTGCTGCATGCCGTTATATGGTCCATGCAGAGCCAACATTTACAAATTTTGCAAAAATATCGAGTTCTTCGTCTTTTACAATATTTGTAGTTCCCGCTTTTACCTGGTTGTAGTTCTGGCACAATCTCCTCTTCAATAACTGAGAATCTCAAAGCTGAAGTATGAACACTTTTGGTTATGTGCTTACATTACATTACATAGACTACATATTGGGTAGACGGACCAACCAACCTTGCACCGCGACCCTAAGGATCTATTGTACCCCGATAGATATCGTTATCAAATTTCACCGTGCAGTTCAATGCTCTTAACGAACATTAATACCTTGCTCGGTGAAAGGCTATTCAGATCCTTTGGGGAGATAAACTGCGACCCAAAAATCGAGAATCTGATACCGTTAACGGCAGGGCAGTGGCATAAAACATGCTCAACCGTCTCTGCTTCCTCCGCACATAGTCGGCATTCAATATCGTCGGCTAAACCCAACTTACCCAACAAGTTGAGGTGTGCTTTTAATCAGCAGTGCCCAGTAAAAACGCCCATTAGAACTTTTATGTGGCGATGTTAAGGTTATGTGCTTATCGACGGTTCTTCTTCGCATGTTATCCTGCACTAATTCCATACCGAGATTCTTTTGGAATAATCTACTAGTTTTAACAAATTCGCCATCAGGTCTACTGTCTTTGTAAATAACATAAGCATTAATTGCTGCTATATTGATTGATAAAAGAAAAAACTATCATTAGCCAACGCTTTGTATTTCTAGCAACATTATGTGACTTGATCATTCGATCAATAACATCAACTCCACTTTTTGTGCCGTTGTAAAAAGTAAATATTTCGGATTTTTTCTGTTCCGATGGTCCATAACATTTCTTCCTGAACCTGATAAATATGACATTTTTTCTGTTATTGTAGCGGTAGAATTGTCAGATTTGTATGAGGCATCAGGTTGAACTCCAGCATAGATTTCTATATGCAAAGTGAAAAATGTTTTAGCGTCCACAACAGAGAAAACTTTTAGCCCGTATTTGTTAAGTTTGTTTGAAGTATACATTCTAAAACCGTACTTACCCCTAAAGGCAAGCAGCATTTCATAAAGTCATATACTCGCTTACTGAATAAGTTATCTTACAATTTTCATTGGACTTGTCAACAATAGTACGAACTGCTGCTAGTTTGTCAACTTTTTTTCTTTCTTTTTTAAGATGTACCTATGTTTTCCCATTGTAGCAGGAAATATCTCATATCACATGCCGTCTGATGACCAATACTCTTCTAAAGCATTTCTATAAGGTCGGTAGGTCTACTATACACTCAGTCTTATCTTGATATCTAACAGAATTTTTTTCAATATATAAATTAGTGTTTTCAATTACAATATCGATTTAATTTTCAAACCTGTGTATCCAGCATTGGATACGTCTCCTTTCAGACAGTTTAACAAATATATTAGCAATGATAAGATTTTTTCTTTTCCTATTACAGAACCTTCACCAATAATCAGATCCTTTCCTCCTTTGCCGATCATTCATTTTTCGTTGTCAGTCTAAACATCTCTTCTATTTGATAGTAACAACTTATTTATTTAACTAATAGTTTTCCTTTTGTTTCCTGTCGATAATAATACTTTATGTAATTGAAAAAGTGAAACTGTATGTGTCTAAACCACCTTTCCACTTACTTTGATAAGTAACTAAGTAATTTTTTTCTACTCATTACATAAAACTGTGTGACCCGATTTTCGCAAAGAAAAGGTAACCACACGTTAATTAATACAATTATAATGTACTAAGGCGCTAGACAATCGTAATTATTCCATCAAGGTTAGCAAAAAGTTTGTAAATGCGCAAATTCTAAGCAACCGCGTAAGCAGTGATCTGTAAAACGGAATAATAACCCGATAAAATGGAACTGGAAGTTTTTATGAAAAATATTTCTGCACTTTTCAATTCGAAATGACCTTTATAAGGCTATCCGGTTTACAACTGTTTTATAACCCAGTCTGTAACAGGGTCTTGGTTCTTTAATTATAATTCATCGACCCGGTCACCTTCAAAACACAAAAATGTTATTTTATTTATTCAAATTTAAATTTTCTGTCGTATAAACTTCTTTTGAAACTTTTTCCCGTGGCTTTTTTTTGAAGATTAACGAGTCATGTGCGTTTACTGATGACAGAAAGTAGTCTTTTAATGAGTGAAAGCACAACTCAATATCAACTTGTTTCCATTACCAGCAACCATAAGATTACTCTTTTTTATTCACATTGAAAAAAGAAAACAAATTGTTGTAACTGTATTAAATGCAATTTTGTTGATCTTTTCGACATACAGTAAAACCTCGATATAACGTATCTCGTTAGAACGGACTTCAGATATAACAGATAAAATATTTTTGTCATACTATTAATATCATCTATTTAATACATCAGTATATTTAAATATGTCAGCGGTCATAGAATCCAATTTGGATTATTCTTCAACATTAATACATTGAAAAAAGAAAAAAATCGTACTGTCATATTCTTCACTCCTCTGGCAACGAATAGGTATATATTAATATTCTTTTTACAAGCATTATACCTTACTAGATTGCTTTTTTTCAATATACAACCAGTGTTGTAGTCATTGTTGCAACAGGCGTTTTACACAACATGTGCATTAATGTCCATAAACTTTTTTCTTCTGTAACATGCATTTGCGACATATGATATGGGCATTCCCTTCGGCCGGATATCCGGCATTATGGTTATAATTTCTGGTGCATTTCTGAAGTGATACCATACATTGCCACATTATTGCGATATTTGAATAAAAATGAAACTAATAAGAAAGCTGATAAGATATTGCAACTTATTTGGATCCAAGATGTAAAATGAATTCTTTTTGATGCTAATCTAATTAACGAAGCAACTCTAAAAAGAGGATACTTTAATTAATAATTGGCGATGTTTCCACAAGAACCCTTCAAGAAATGAATTTTGTAGCGAATTTTGAAAGTTATCGATGAAAATTGCAACATCGAAAAATTTATCAAAACTTCAAATATTGTTTTCTCAAAAACTAAAAGTTATTTTTCAAAACGGGTTGGTTCATTGGAAAGAAGACACTTTTATTAATAGTGTAGGAAATTTCCATACTCATATTCCAAGTACTGGATTTTATACAAATTTTTAAAACTTAATCGGCGAAAATTGCAAAATTCGAAAAAACTGTCGATGATTTCAAAAATTTTTTTCTCAAAAACTAAAAACGATTTTTCAAAACGGCTTGTTGCATTAAAAAGAGGATACAATAATTAATAATTGGTGATATTCCCACAAGGACCCTTCAATAAATTAATTTTATAGAGAATTTTGAATATCGATGAAAATTGCAATATCGTAAATTTTATCAAAACTTCAAATATTGTTTTCTCAAAAACTAAAAGTTATTTTTCAAAGCATGTTGGTTCATTAGAAAGAAGACACTTTTATTAACACTTTGGAAAATTTTCATACTCAGATTCCAAGAACTTGATTTTATACGAATTTTGTAAATTACGAATGTGGTAATAAATTACAAGCGAAAAGAAGGAAACTAGACGAAACTGCAACAAGAAATTTTATATATCGTATTGGAATTGTTACAATGAGGTTGCTAAAGACAAACCTGATATAAATAAAGTTGTATTCAATGAAAAAAGACCTATTGGGGTTGAACTTGATTATTATCTGCAGTGTCCAACACCTAAAAGAGATACTAATTCCTATGAATGGTGGAGTACTAAGTAATAGGTTTTTAATATTCGGCCAAAGCCGGATATTTGGATATCCGTATAGTTGCCGGATCCGTTCCACCAGTTATCGAAACCAATCGGATTAGTTTTAATTGAAAGCAACATGTCACCTCCTGCTCTGAGGCTAAAGATTCAGGCTTTTTAGTAACCGTAGGGATCATATTTGACGAAAAGAAAGTGATTAATTCAGTATCGCCTTGCGAATTATTCTCATAAATATGTTGATTGAGGGACTTAAGCTAGAGTCTCCAAATTTCCCAAACAATCGCTGCTGCATGCCGTTATCTGGTATATGCAGAGCCAACATTTACAAATTTTGCAAAAATATCGAGGTCTTCGTCTTTTACAATATTTGTAGTTCCCTCTTTTACCTGTACCCCGATACCCCGATAGATATCGTTATCAAATTTCACCGTGCAGTCCAATGCTCTTAACGAACATTAATACCATTAATACCTCGGTAAAAGGTCATTCAGATCCTTTGCGGAGATAAACTGCGACCCAAAAATCAAGAATCTGATACCGTTAAAGGCAGGGCAGTGGCATAAAACATGCTCAACCGTCTCTGCTTCCTCCGCACATAGTCGGCATTCAACATCGTCGGCAACAAGTTGAGGTGTGCTTTTAATCGGCAGTGCCCAGTAAAGACACCAATGCTGCTACGGGCAAGTCTTAAAATATTCCTGGGTTTGACAGTGGCGATGTTAAGGTTATGTGCTTATCGACGGTTCTTCTTCGCATGTTATCCTGCACTAATTCCATACCGAGATTCTTTTGGAATAATCTACTAGTTTTGACAAATTCACCATCAGGTCTACTGTTTTTGTAAATAACAGAAGCATTGATTGCTGCTATATTGAGTAGGTTATAAAAAACTACCATTGGCCAACGTTTTGTATTTCTAGCAACATTATGTGACGTGATCATTCGATCAATAACATCAACTCCACTTTTTGTCCTATTGTAAAAAGTAAATATTTCGGATTTTTTGCGATCCGATATTCCATAGTAACATTTCTTCCTGCACCTGATAAATATGACATTTTTTCTGTTATTGTAGCGGTAGAATTGTCAGATTTGTATGAGGCATCAGGTTGAACTCCAGCATAGATTTCTATATGCAAAGTGAAAAATGTTTTAGCGTCCACAACAGAGAAAACTTTTAGCCCGTATTTGTTAAGTTTGTTTGAAGTATACATTCTAAAACCGTACTTACCCCTAAAGGCAAGCAGCATTTCATAAAGTCATATACTCGCTTACTGAATAAGTTATCTTACAATTTTCATTGGACTTGTCAACAATAGTACGAACTGCTGCTAGTTTGTCAACTTTTTTTCTTTCTTTTTTAAGATGTACCTATGTTTTCCCATTGTAGCAGGAAATATCTCATATCACATGCCGTCTGATGACCAATACTCTTCTAAAGCATTTCTATAAGGTCGGTAGGTCTACTATACACTCAGTCTTATCTTGATATCTAACAGAATTTTTTTCAATATATAAATTAGTGTTTTCAATTACAATATCGATTTAATTTTCAAACCTGTGTATCCAGCATTGGATACGTCTCCTTTCAGACAGTTTAACAAATATATTAGCAATGATAAGATTTTTTCTTTTCCTATTACAGAACCTTCACCAATAATCAGATCCTTTCCTCCTTTGCCGATCATTCATTTTTCGTTGTCAGTCTAAACATCTCTTCTATTTGATAGTAACAACTTATTTATTTAACTAATAGTTTTCCTTTTGTTTCCTGTCGATAATAATACTTTATGTAATTGAAAAAGTGAAACTGTATGTGTCTAAACCACCTTTCCACTTACTTTGATAAGTAACTAAGTAATTTTTTTCTACTCATTACATAAAACTGTGTGACCCGATTTTCGCAAAGAAAAGGTAACCACACGTTAATTAATACAATTATAATGTACTAAGGCGCTAGACAATCGTAATTATTCCATCAAGGTTAGCAAAAAGTTTGTAAATGCGCAAATTCTAAGCAACCGCGTAAGCAGTGATCTGTAAAACGGAATAATAACCCGATAAAATGGAACTGGAAGTTTTTATGAAAAATATTTCTGCACTTTTCAATTCGAAATGACCTTTATAAGGCTATCCGGTTTACAACTGTTTTATAACCCAGTCTGTAACAGGGTCTTGGTTCTTTAATTATAATTCATCGACCCGGTCACCTTCAAAACACAAAAATGTTATTTTATTTATTCAAATTTAAATTTTCTGTCGTATAAACTTCTTTTGAAACTTTTTCCCGTGGCTTTTTTTGAAGATTAACGAGTCATGTGCGTTTACTGATGACAGAAAGTAGTCTTTTAATGAGTGAAAGCACAACTCAATATCAACTTGTTTCCATTACCAGCAACCATAAGATTACTCTTTTTTATTCACATTGAAAAAAGAAAACAAATTCTTGTAACTGATTAAATACACGTTATGTAAGTTGTAACTGTATTAAATGCAATTTTGTTGATCTTTTCGACATACAGTAAAATCTCGATATAACGTATCTCTTTAGAACGGACTTCAGATATAACAGATAAAATATTTTTGTCATACTATTAATATTATCTATTAATACATCAGTATATTTAAATATGTCAGCGGTCATAGAATCCAATTTGGATTATTCTTTAACATTAATACATTGAAAAAAGAAAAAAATCGTACTGTCATATTCTTCACTCCTCTGGCAACGAATAGGTATATATTAATATTCTTTTTACAAGCATTATACCTTACTAGATTGCTTTTTTTCAATATACAACCAGTGTTGTAGTCATTGTTGCAACAGGCGTTTTACACAACATGTGCATTAATGTCCATAAACTTTTTTCTTCTGTAACATGCATTTGCGACATTTGATATGGGCATTCCCTTCGGCCGGATATCCGGCATTATGGTTATAATTTCTGGTGCATTTCTGAAGTGATACCATACATTGCCACATTATTGCGATATTTGAATAAAAATGAAACTAATAAGAAAGCTGATAAGATATGTCAACTTATTTGGATCCAAGATGTAAAATGAATTCTTTTTGATGCTAATCTAATTAACGAAGCAACTCTAAAAAGAGGATACTTTAATTAATAATTGGCGATGTTTCCACAAGAACCCTTCAAGAAATGAATTTTGTAGCGAATTTTGAAAGTTATCGATGAAAATTGCAACATCGAAAATTTTATTTAAACTTGAAATATTGGTTTCTCAAAAACTAAAAACTATTTTTCAAAACCGGGTTAGTTCATTGGAAAGAAGACACTTTTATTAACACTTTGGGAAATCTTCATTCTCATATTCCAAGAACTAGATTTTATACGAATTTTTAAAACTTAATCGGCGAAAACTACAAAATTCGAAAAAATTGTGGGTTATTTAAAAAATTTATTTCTCAAGAACTAAAAGTGATTTTTCAAAACGGCTTGTTGCATTAAAAAGAGGTTACTTTAATTAATAATTGACGATATTTCCACAAGGATCCTGCTAGAAATGAATTTTATAGCGAATTTTGAAACATATCGATGAAAATTGCAACATCGAAAATTTTCTCAAAAGTTCAAATATTGGTTTCTCAAAAACTAAAAACTATTTTTCAAAACGGATTAGTTCATTGGAAAGAAGACACTTTTATTAACACTTTGGGAAATCTTCATACTCATATTTCAAAAACTAGATTTTATACGAATTTTTAAGACTTAATCGGCGAAAATTGCAAAATTCGAAAAAATTCTCGATCATTTCAAAAATCTATTTCTCAAAAACTAAAAGCGCTTTTTCAAAACGGCTTCTTGCATTAAAAAGAGTATACTTTAATTAATAATTAACGATATTTCCACAAGGATCCTTCAAGAAATGAATTTTATAGCGAATTTTGAAAATTATCGATGAAAATTGCAACATCGAAAATTTTACCAAAACTTCAAATATTGTTTTCTCAAAAACTAAAAAGTATTTTTTAAAACGGGTTAGTTCATTGGAAAGAAGACACTTTTATTAACACTTTGGGAAATCTTCATACTCATATTCCAAGAACTAGATTTTATACGAATTTTTAAATCTTAATCAGCGAAAATTGCAAAATTCGAAAAAATTGTCGATCATTTCAAAAATTTATTTCTCCAAAACTAAAAGCGATTTTTCAAAACGGCTTGTTGCATTAAAAAGAGGATACTTTAATTAATAATTGGCGATATTTCCATAAGAATCCTTCAAGAAATGAATTTTGTAGCGAATTTTGAAAATTATCGATGAAAATTGTAACATCGAAAATTTTATCAAAACTTCAAATATTGTTTTCTCAAAAACTAAAAACTATTTTTCAAAACGGGTTAGTTCATTGGAAAGAAGACACTTTTATTAACACTTTGGGAAATTGTCATATTCATATTCCAAGAACTAGATTTTATACGAATTTTTAAAACTTAATCGGCGAAAACTACAAAATTCGAAAAAATTGTGGATTATTTCAAAAATTTATTTCTCAAGAACTAAAAGTGATTTTTCAAAACGGCTTTTTGCATTAAAAAGAGGATACTTTAATTAATAATTGGTGATATTTCCACAAGGATCCTTCAAGAAATTAATTTTATAGCGAATTTTGAAAATTATCGATGAAAATTGCAACATCGAAGATTTTATCAAAACTTCAAATATTATTTTCTCGAAAACTAAAAACTATTTTTCAAAACGGGTTGGTTCATTGAAAAGAAGACACTTTTATTAACACTATAAAAAAAATACATATGATGTATATACAATAAATACCCCATTTCAATTCAAATACAAATACGTTGACAATTATTGTCATAGATGAACCATAACATTTTGATGTACAAAATTCAATAACCTTAAAAAAATTAAATTAACGACGACAATCTGTGTCATTTAATACTTTCCGTACTCTTATTTATCCCTACAGATAAATCCGGGAATGAAATTTATTACCGTAATAATTTTACTAGGGATTACACATAAAACGTTATGTTTCTTTGGATTAGTCATGAGCACATTTACAATAGTTTTCAATACAATTAACAACGTGATGATTAAACAGGAACTTGAAAAAGCTACTAAAGCCGCAAAAGAAGTTGAAACTATCGGTTACCAACGTTTTCTAGAGGCGAAATTAGCCACTGAGACTGAATTAAAGCTAAGTCGAGAAGTAGTGGAGAAAACTAAAAATCTTATAAAAGGAATGATACAACAACACGAACAAAATCATGAATACATTTTAAGTACTTTATATAGTGTGGAAGAATCAGTACAAAATTTAAAGGATGCGATGGATTTGTTGAAATTAGAAGATAATATGGAATCGATGACTCAAGAATTTGTGGACTTGTTACGAAAGTTCTTCAAGGAAGCAAACCATCTGGATAAAATTTACCAAGAATTTTCCAATTATGGTTTTAAACCCGAAAAATATGACAAAGATTCATTAATAAATTTTGTTATTAAGAACTTAGACGGCGAAACTTTTGGAATTATAAGAAGTTTGCAAAGAAAGCTAGTAAATAACAAAGGCTTGTTTCATTTAGCTTCATATGTTGTGAGTCCATAAAATTAATATTTTCTATTATTATAATAACAAAGGTTATTGTAGGGAGTAGAAAAATATATATTATATACTAGAAGTAAATCTTCTTTGCAATTTATCTTAAACTTATTTAGTTATTATGTACTCATTGAAATAAGAACGTTGGTGGTGATTAGCTTTTCAAAGAACGTTGCAACGCACATAGAACCTAGTCTGTATAAAACATTACATTTAAAATGAATTAATAATTTCAATAAATTAATTTATAGAAACGAATATGTATTGGCAAGATCATAAAGAGTACGATTTAGAGGTGGATTATCGAGTGAAAAATACACTCGAAATGTTGCAATTTCACTCGAATTATGTTACAGGAAGATATTGGGTTTACGATTCATACAAAAATCCAATTGGTACGGTTCTAAATTTTCAATTTAAATACGAATTGTAATTAAATATTTTAGGTCATAATTATGTAACGTTTACCAATTTCATGAGGGGATTTATTTTGCGCGGATCAAAATGTTCTGAAATAGGAAATTCTAAAAATGATGATGAAGATAAACGAAATGATGAAAAAGATGAAGAGTAAGTTATTTATATTATATATTGATTAATATACAATTAGATTACAGCTTTAATTGTACAATATCAAACCCTAATAAGTGCGAAGGAGAATTAATCCCGGTCGATGATCCAATTAATTTCTCGAAACGAAATCGCTCAGTGATGAACGTTTGTTTTAGTGTAAATATAAAAATTTAATTTTAAAAAATGGTTTATGTGATTTAATTTTTTTTAGCGAAAAGAGAATAGAAATTATGATTACGTCAAATTCAATAAAGGCCCAAAAAACGCCAAATGTAGCGGTACATCTAAAATTTTTCCTTATCTAGAAGGATGTGAAAGTTGCTTTTTCTTGTGTTATGACCATTTTGAAAATTCTAGTGATAGATATATCAGTTTGGATGAAATGGTTACAAATATCACCGAGAAACGGTATATTGATACAATGATGATTATCTCAAAATTAATGTTGCTATTACAGAATTATCACTGGAGTACGTTTTAATAAACATAATGGTGTAATTGGGATTGATATCCAAGAAACTCAAATAGATAAGGCGGGTTGTGCATTGCTAAATACCACGAAATGGATTATAAATAAAGGGAAAAAATTGTTTGCTCTAAACCCAACAAAACTTCATTTATATTTGGGTGAAATCCGAACTAACAATAAGAATCGAGTTGTAACTGGCACGTTATTAATATAGTAATGAACCCGTGAAACGACAACAACAAATTTTTACCACCTACTTTACTAGCTGATATCTTCGTTGTCTTTAGAGATCAACAATGCAAAAAAATGAAAAAAGAGTTTGATTAATTTGAAAAGAACACACTTTGAGCTATCTAAATCCAGGTTTTGTCTGGTCAACATCTATAGGGATCGGCCAAAAACACGCCTAATAAACAACTTTACACATAGAATTGGTACATTGATCTTTCTCAATACAACTCTTTTATTTGATAGGATCAAAACGTGTAACACTGCTACACTCAACTTTAATACTGCTACAAGCAAGTTCTAAAATATTCCCGGGTTTGACAGTGGCGATGTTGATAAACAACTTAGCGTGTCTTTTTCGAGGAGAACTGGCCCACAGTAGGCGAAGTCTCTCTTCAACCCTATGTTTGGCAATCGTAAATGATATACCAACTGATGGCTCTGGACCCACAAACGCTTTAGCGCTGCCTTCTCGTGCTAGCTCATCTGTCGCTCCATTGCAAGCAACCCCAGAATGACCTCGGACCCAGATCAGAAAAACTCTGTTATCACAACTCAGTGTGTTTACAGTGAGTTCTTTTACAATTATTATTAACTTTAAAAGTTTCTGACTTGACCGTCAGAAAAATCGTACTGTCATGTTCTTCACGCCTTTTCTCAGTCCAAGTACAGCAGACTCTCCTACACCTACTTTTCTTACTTTTTTTGTAGTTGTCGCATTTTCTTCTTTACCCGCTGAAGTACCAGCTGCATTTTCTCTCGTCGGTCTTTTTCCCTTGGTATGGTTCAAATTGCATCAAATACCCAACAGCTGAACCTACTCCCTTTCTTGGAATTCTGCATTTGCATCAATTTTCGTACTTTAGCAAATATGTCGCCCGGAGGAAGGTTATTATTATCTGCACAGTGTCTAATTTATATCTTCTCATACAATTCACTACCGCAATATTGCAAGATTCGGTTCCTAGCTCCCATCACATTCTCCATCTTGGAACAAGATAATAGCCAGATAATAGTAGTATGGCCAAAAAACACTTTATGTCTTCATTGAAAACTCGAAAATTAAGTTCACCCTTTCGCTGAGCATATAATGTCGTAATTTCTGCCAAAAATAATATAATACAATCATCAAGAAAAAGCTGAAAGCATTCCACCGGATTAGAAGGAATGGGCGTTGATTGCACCGGTTTCTCAAAGTTCGGAAATCCATGAACAAGATCGTATTTTTAAAGCTTAATCGGCAAAGATTGCAAAATTCGAAAAAATTTATTTCTCAAAAACTAAAAACGATTTTTCAAAACGGCTTGTTGCATTAAAAAGAGGATACTTTAATTAATAATTGGTGATATTTCCACAAGGATCCTTGAAGAAATTAATTTTATAGCGAATTTTGAAAATTATCGATGAAAATTGCAACATCGAAAATTTTATCAAAACTTCAAATATTGTTTTCTCAAAAACTAAAAGTTATTTTTCAAAACGGGTTGGTTCATTGGAAAGAGGACACTTTTATTAACACTTTGGGAAATTTTCATACTCATATTCCAAGAAATGGATTTTATACGAATTTTTAAAACTTAATCGGCGAAAATTGCAAAATTCGAAAAAATTGTCGATTATTTCAAAAATTTATTTCTCAAGAACTAAAAGTGATTTTTCAAAACGGCTTTTTGCATTAAAAAGAGGATACTTTAATTAATAATTGGTGATATTTCCACAAGGATCCTTCAAGAAATTAATTTTATAGCGAATTTTGAAAATTATCGATGAAAATTGCAACATCGAAAATTTTATCAAAACTTCAAATATTGTTTTCTCAAAAACTAAAAGTTATTTTTCAAAACGGGTTGGTTCATTGGAAAGAGGACACTTTTATTAACACTTTGGGAAATTTTCATACTCATATTCCAAGAAATGGATTTTATACGAATTTTTAAAACTTAATCGGCGAAAATTGCAAAATTCGAAAAAATTGTCGATTATTTCAAAAATTTATTTCTCAAGAACTAAAAGTGATTTTTCAAAACGGCTTTTTGCATTAAAAAGAGGATACTTTAATTAATAATTGGTGATATTTCCACAAGGATCCTTCAAGAAATTAATTTTATAGCGAATTTTGAAAATTATCGATGAAAATTGCAACATCGAAAATTTTATCAAAACTTCAAATATTGTTTTCTCAAAAACTAAAAGTTATTTTTCAAAACGGGTTGGTTCATTGGAAAGAGGACACTTTTATTAACACTTTGGGAAATTTTCATACTCATATTCCAAGAAATGGATTTTATACGAATTTTTAAAACTTAATCGGCGAAAATTGCAAAATTCGAAAAAATTGTCGATTATTTCAAAAATTTATTTCTCAAGAACTAAAAGTGATTTTTCAAAACGGCTTTTTGCATTAAAAAGAGGATACTTTAATTAATAATTGGTGATATTTCCACAAGGATCCTTCAAGAAATTAATTTTATAGCGAATTTTGAAAATTATCGATGAAAATTGCAACATCGAAAATTTTATCAAAACTTCAAATATTGTTTTCTCAAAAACTAAAAGTTATTTTTCAAAACGGGTTGGTTCATTGGAAAGAGGACACTTTTATTAACACTTTGGGAAATTTTCATACTCATATTCCAAGAAATGGATTTTATACGAATTTTTAAAACTTAATCGGCGAAAATTGCAAAATTCGAAAAAATTGTCGATTATTTCAAAAATTTATTTCTCAAGAACTAAAAGTGATTTTTCAAAACGGCTTTTTGCATTAAAAAGAGGATACTTTAATTAATAATTGGTGATATTTCCACAAGGATCCTTCAAGAAATTAATTTTATAGCGAATTTTGAAAATTATCGATGAAAATTACAACATAGAAAATTTTATCAAAACTTTCAAATATTGTTTTCTCAAAAACTAAAAGTTATTTCTCAAAACGGGTTCGTTCATTGGAAAGAGGACACTCTTATTAACACTTTGGGACATTTTCATACTCATATTCCAAGAACTGCATTTTATACGAAATTTTAAAACTTAATCGGCGAAAATTGCAAAATTCGAAAAAATTGTCGATCATATCAAAAACTGTTTGTGACAAAGGTTTGTCGTCACTATTTGACTCTTCGTCAGTGTCGCTATCACCAATTGTGAAAGTTCGTTCTTGATTTGTAATTTTCGCCATAGCTTCAGCTTAAAACTAGCTTATTGATGTCGTTGCAGAACTCTTCAATGCTGCTATCTTCAACACTATTACCGAATTAGTTCACCCAAATTTCGTCTCCTGGGGAAGGGCACAACGATTGTAGTTTTGCGAGTTTGATGTATTTAATATTTCGCTAACTCTAAAGACAACGAAGACATCGGCTTGTAAACTAAGTAAAAAAAAACAAGAGTAAAAATTTGTTGTTATCGTAGCACTGGTTAGTAATCATAGGTTATTCTCATTTTGATGCATTTTAGGTTTAAGATTTGAAGAAATCGCCGACGGCTTACAATTACAAGTAAGATTCCACGAATTAATTAAATGTGCTCAAAATAGTACTCTCGTCGCAAGTACTTTAAATTGGATTACAACGGAAAAAAGTGCACGTAGAATTGATGTATCGAATAAAGAAGTGCCCAACCATCACTCCGATTTAAGTCTTCCCATTAAAAGTTTTGGGAATTCTAAAATTCGAATCGGCGCAAGTGATTTTGAAAGTGATGGTGCACAAACTACGGTGCCTTTTTTTGATACACGTGAAGTGGTTTGTGAGCCGCCTGTCGCGTTATGGGGAATCGGCTGGATATATAAAGGCGAAAGTGAATATTACAGCGGTTATGTAGCTCCGTATTTAATAAGTGCGAATTATTTGTACGACATCGATATGGAAAATCTTCTAAATTTAGCTGAAAGATCAAATGATGCGTCAATTCTACAAGTTACTAAAAGTGGGTGTTGTTTATTAATAATAAATTGTTTTATTTCATTTTTATAATATATATTAGTTTTATGTGTTTTCATTTTGAATTTGTTAAACGACAAGTTTAAATTTTATGAAAAATTTAATATTTTCGTTGTATCAAGTTAGATTGACTAAATTATTGAAAACAAAACTGACATAAAAAGTTAAATGTCAGATAATATAATTTAATTAATACTAACAATAAAATGAAATTAATAACAATAATAATCTTGTTTTCCCTAATTCGCGACGATTTAACCCAATTTGAGGTGTGGATCGGAAATGAGTCCAAAGAAATAAATGGTGTAGTGGACATAGGGATTGAAGTTCTTGATAATATTCCGAGCTCCACCGTCGATTTAGCTGATGCATTTATTAACGAAGTAGTTAATGTTATTTATCTAGAAGAGCATGAGAATATCACCCAAGTTGGAGACCACGATTTCATTTATGCCCATAACTCCTTTTTGCTATATAAGATAGCCGCACACGAAGTCATGGCACACAATAAATCTTTACTCCTTAATCGAAATGAAAATAAAAAAATGGATGCAGCTACAGAATTATTAGTCGAAGAAGCAGAGCAAGAACGACGGTTAATATTACAAATGCTTAAATTTCAGGGGAAAATCCATCAAAAAATAATGGGATCGATGCATGGAAATGAAGAAAATATCAATTCTGCAGAAAAGGCACTTTTATTAATAAATCAAACAAATCAATTTAATGTGGAATTATTCATCAAGAAGTTAACGAAGTTGTTTGAGTACTCAGCAAAGCTTGAAGTGTTGTTTGAAGAGTATCGAGGGTATATAGAAAATTTTGACAAATATGATCTAAAATCTATTAAGATGTTTATTAACAAATGCATGGGTGCAAATTTAAATGATCAAAAAAGTCTGATAAATATAATAGATATGGAAAATTTGTTGATAAATGAAAATATGGGAATTTTTCCTTTTATTACTAATGATGTAAGAATATAAATACAGTAAAACCTTTGATATAACGGATTAATACAGAGAAGGGAGTGTCTGTTATATAAAAAATTATTAGTCTTTTAAACTGACTAAAACCGAATGTGTCTAGTTCTAGTGTTAGTTCTACTTTTAGTTCAATAAAAATATACAACCTCACTCTAGCGCTGAATAACAATTAAAACTAGAACTAACACTAGACCTAGAAAACTGAGTCCCTTAAGACGGCTAAACGGAATGTTTCTAGTTTTAGATCTAGTGTTAGTTCTAGTTTTAGTGTTAGTACTGTTACTATGTAGAATTAACACTATACCTAGAACTAGACTCATTCGGCTTTACTCGTACGTCTCTTAAGACGGCTAAACCCAAATGTTTCTAGTTCTAGATTTAATGTTAGTTGTAGTGACAGTGTAAGTGTAAAACTAGAACTAACACTATACCTAGAACTAGAATCATTCGGGCTTAGCCGTCTTTAGAGAGTGCGACTAAACCCAAATGATTCTAGTTCTAGGTCTAGTGTTTGTTCTAGTTTTACACTAGTAAAACCCAAATGATTCTAGTTCAAGGTCTAGTGTTAGTTCTAGTTTTACAGTAGTACTGTTACTATGTAGAACTAACACTATACCTAGAACGAGAATCATTTGGGTTTAGTCGTACGTTTCTTAAGACGGCTGAACCCAAATGTTTCTAGTTCTAGGTCTAATGTAAGTTCTAGTGACAGTGCAAGTGTAAAACTAGAACTAACACTATACCTAGAACTAGAATCATTCGAGCTTAGCTGTCTTTAGAGACGTGCAGCTAAACCCAAATGATTCTAGTTCTAGGTCTAGTGTTAGTTCTAGTTTTACACTTGCACTGTCACTAGAACTAACATTAAACCTAGAACTAGAAACATTTGGATTTAGCCGTCTTAAGAGACGTACGACTAAAGGCGAATGATTCTAGTTCTTGGTCTAGTGTTAGTTCTACATTCAGTTGAATAAAAATATACAACAATCTAGCGCTGCATAACAATTAAAACTAGAACTAACAGTAGACCTAGAACGTTTCGGGTTTAGCCGCGTGTCTCTTAAGACGGCTAAACTCGAGTGTTTCTAGTTCTAGGTTCAGTGTTAGTTCCACCTTTAGTGTTAGTTCAATAAAAATATACAACAATCTAACGCTGAATAACAACCAAAACTAGAACTACCGTCCTTGATTCATACACCCTATAAACAACTCGGGGAATACCCCGAATTTATCTATTAACATGGAATAGAGCAACTTGGGGAATAACGCGAGTTGGATTCTATCTACAGCATGTCCCCGGATTGTGTCCCCGTAAGGTATAATTGACGATAAATTTTTGAATTCAAATTCCATCTTTTGCAATTAAAGTCTGGATGTCATAAAACGAAATATAACCAAGTTTTACGTTAAATGTCCTCAAAGTACCAAAGTTAACGCAAGAAGGTTGTTAACCGTTGCAGGTAAAGTGGTCTTTCTGAGCAATGTACAAACTAACTCTAACGGAATTTCTCTAATAACAGTTTCAATTTTTTGTTTTAAACGGTCTAAACTGTTATTAAAATTTTCAGTGTACACTTTTTGTTTTACATAACCTCAAAAATAAAAATCCATAATAAATCCGGACTTCTTGGCGGCCATGGTTGCGGACCATATCTACCAATCCATTTTTTTCCAAATAACGTATTTAACAAATTTCTAATTAAAATGGTCGAATGGGCCCGTAACCATCTTGTTGAAAATATAATTTATTGCGTTTTTCTAAATCCACGCCGCGAAGGTAATTAAATAAACAATTTTCTAGTATTTCCAAATATCGGTGTTGATTCAAATTGCCGTTTATGAAGTAAGGTCCAATAACACCGTCCCACGAAACAGTACACCACACGTTCACTTTCTGGGATACTGGCGTTTATAAGCTATGTGATAATGTGGATTAGTCTTTGACCAGAAACGACAATTTTGTAATGTCAACACTCCATTAGTGGTGAACGATGCTTCGTCCGAAAATATTATGTTTTTTAAAAACGTTCTGTCTTTCAAAATTTTGTACCCAAGCCACAAACAATAATCTAAACGTTTCGCTTCATTACCTAATTCGATGGTGTGGTTAAATTTTGGTTTATACGGCAATATTTTATTTTCTTGATAAATTCTTTATAAATGGGATTTACTTATACCGACTTGAACTGCCCTTTTTCTTAACGACACCTCACCGTAATCGACCCCGCATCATGTTCATCTAAAAGCTTTTAATCCTTCCTTTTATTTTCCACATTGCCCGTTTCCGAAAATTTTTTAACAACTCTCTTTATTGTTTTTTTATCTACTAAAAATCCAAATTTTTCCTCAAATTGCCTTAAGACTGCATTGAACTAATGTTCCCTAATCCATAGCACTGCACTATAAATATTTTATGTTGTTGATAATTTGTTTTTATTGTAAAACGGAATATTAGAAAAAAGTTTTCAAGAAAAAGCTTATTTTTTCTTTTATATGCTAAATTAATAAAATTCTGAATATTGCTATAATTTAACATAACAAACATTTTATCTTAATCAACTTTTGTTGTACATTGCTCAGAAAGACCACTTTACCTGCAACGGTTAACAAACTTCTTGCGTTAACTTTGGTACTTTGAAGATATTTGACGTAAAACTTGGTTATATTTCGTTTTATGACATCCAGACTTTAATTGCAAAAGATGGAATTTGAATTCAAAAATTTATCGTCAATTATACCTTACGAGGACACAATCCGGGGACACACTGTATAAGCACTAACATTATATTTAAATATACTGATATATTAAATAGATAACATTAATAGTAAAATTTAAAAATATTTTGTTAATTATATCGAGGTTTTACTGTATCATCTCTTTCTTATTCATCTTTTACTGTGTGTTATAGGTGGTGGCAAATTATATATTGGCCAATCGCCAAATTTCACCTTTACAATTTATGCATAATTTATTTGCTTATGTTGTAATCACCGAAGTAAGAGCTTTGACTGTTATAGACTTTGCATACCAATTATCGTACTTTATAAAAAGAGGCACGGTAATCTCATTTTTGAAATAATAACCAAAACTATCATTTATATGTATACTTAATTAGGTCATACCTATAATAAAATATACGAAGATTATGTTCATGATATGGGTTTAAGAGTTAAACGGATTATAGAATCATTACAGCTTAATTCAATGAAACTTAGTGGAAAACAATGGGTGGTCGATTCAAATCAATCTAAAATTGGTACAACTTTAAATAATATTTATTGCATCTTCTTTTTAGCAAATTTTTTTAGGAAATCAATATGTATTCTTTACTGATTTTATGAAAGGAATCGTATATCGCGATACTGATTGTTCATATGCTGGTATCCCACTAACGAAAGACGACGAACAGTGAGTTTGGGGTTTCAGTTTAACTTAATGTTAATTTTTTTGTTTTAAGGCGTAAATTGTGTCAATTGGATAATAGACATGTATGTACAGGAATGGTATATTGTAATAGTGGTACATCCTCAGCTAATATATATATTTGTTATCATGTAAGAATATTTCTTTACGTTAATTTATTTAAATTATAATTTAATTTTCTTCTATGACAGGTTTTAGTCTTTTTAATAGTAATTTTTCAAGCAGTTTTGATAGTAAAGGTAATAATAAGATTGACCTATATGATGTAATATCTGTGGGGGGTTTACCAGGTTTTGGTATCATTATTATTTCAGCAACTTTCCATATACTTGGGAAGTATTTCTGTTTAAAAGCAGCATTAATTGGACCGCGTTATACATCACTTGATGAAGCGACATTTTATCGTTTCTAGAGATTTTCATGCTGTCTGGTAGGTAAAGGTGTAATTTATCTTAGAAAAAATGCAGAACGCCGAAAGACCTAAAATAAAGGGTAAAGCTAAGCGCCAATCACGTTATACCATTTCAAGTCCGATTTGCATCATACGTCTAAGAACCAACTTAGATACGACACTTAGATACACCAAGAAATTCTACTATAGAAAAAATAGATGAAATAGATGAATTAATTTTGACATATTTGTCAACTTCATAAAAAATCATTTAAAATGAGTCCAAACTCGACATATTTAACTTTGATATTAATGGAGATACAATCACATCCGGTTGGAAACATCAACGTCAATTTTGCCATATTTGTCATCATCATTAAAAAAATTTTAAAATGAGTCCAAAGATGACGCACTTATCTCAAAAAACAAAAAAGTTAGAAAAAAAACATTAAACCCGAAGTTAGCAACAATGAAGATAGCAATTTAATTTTTAAATATTAATACGAACCTTAATTTTTTATTTTCTTTTTATTATATTTTTGATTTTGTTACAAATATAAAAAAATAAAATGACTTATATCTCGAGTAATATTGGAATTAAACGTATCATGTTTGGACTCATTTTAAAGGATTTTTCACGAAGATTACAAATATGTCAAAATTGACGTTGATATTCATAACCGGAAGTTGAACATAACTTCATTAATATTGAAGATAAATATGTCGTGTTTGTACTCATTTTAAAGGATTTTTAATGAAGATTACAAATATGTCAAAATTGAGGTTGACATTTTAATCCTGAAGTTAATTATCATATAATAGAAGTTTTCAGCACTTTCTTTTTATTGTTAACGGGTTTTTTGGATCATTTCACATTGATTAAAAAAAATCGTCGATTTTTAAGCCACATGATAATTCTTGAATTTTTCCCAAGCTTCTTAATATTTCTTTTGTTAAAAAAGAGCGTTCTTAAGTTTTAACCTGTAAACTTGTAACACTTTGTCCTTAATTTCATTTTACAACTTTTTAAACTTTAATTTTGTAAATTAGTAACTAATAATCTGATTTCGACTTTGATATGTGATCTTTTTTAACAAGAAATATTAAGAAACTTGTTAATCTATTTGTAGAGTATCTGAAGGTGGCCAAGGATCGAAACTAGTTAGACTTAAATTCTATATAAAACAGAAACCAGTTGAGCAGTACAAAATCAAACTCTAGATAATTTTCTTCAAAAATTTTTACACGAAACATCATTTTGAATCTATTATTTGTGATTAAATTTATGCCACGACTTACAGAAGCACCCGGTATAATCGTAAAACGACTGACCAAGCGGATTCGGTGCTTATGATGGCTGTCATCAGTGTTCTGTGATTAAAATAGATAGGCACCAAACAATTTTCAATAGTTTGAGCCTGTTTATTCTGAGAAGTCATATTTTGTTCATTTATCGCTTAGTCAAGTGATGTATAACGCGGTCCAATTATGTGTAATAGTTTTGTAATCGCCCGTTTTGGTAGATGTTTCAATGTTTCTCTATTAATTAGGTCATACTGATTTCTTTATATTTACTTTTTGTATTTCATAATACAGTTCTCTCATTCGTTCATGGTATATTACTCTGCTGATCACTTTGAATTGTGCTAGGAATACTATTTAACATAGTTGTTGGACTGTCTGATGTAAAAGTTTCTTTCAGATGTTCAGCAAACAAATTAACTTTTTCTTGATTGCTCTTAGCGCAATTTCCATTACTATTTCGAATTGGAATTGCATGTGTTCTTGGAACTTTAGCTTTCTTGTTGGATTCCACAGAGAATAATCAGTACTGGCATCGTCAGTAAGGTCTTTTAAATAATTTTGAATATTATTTTCCTGGTGGCTATCTGTTAATTCTCTTAATTCGGCTGTTATTTCATTTAATTTAGTTTTATCACTAGGAATTCTATTGGTTTGCCATTTCTTTCTTGCTTTCCGTTTTCTGCAATTTTGTCTCTAATGAATTTAGGATAAATATTAGATTTAGGTTTTGGTGTTAAAATTGAGGCCCAGGCTGCGTTTTGTATGTCTGTTTTGATAAGAGCATTAACATGAATTTTATTATCTAATGTTTGTTGAAATATATTCCAATTAGTGAGTTTATTAGTTAGTGATAAAAAGGGTTCTTTGTTACATAATTTGTTATTTAGAGTAATAATTACTGGTGAGTGATCTGAGTCTAGCCCTAACTCTTCTATGTTTAAACAGTTAAGCGATACATTTTGTGAGAGGTATCTTAAAAATTATCTTAACTTTACAATCCCTGATGAACACCCAGTTCACTAAGACGTTGTTATCTCTTAACACACCTCATAAGCCTAAGTTAACGTCATCTTTGGAGAAATCATTCTCATTATTGATGAAGTCCAATGTTCAAAAAACAGTTCATAATGATTTTCACAATTATTAGCGTGTTGTGATGTTGTCTACTTCATAAATGCAAGAATTAAGGCATTATAATAAAATTCTATTTGGTTCGTTTTCTTTCTGATTGTTGAAAAATCGAGTCTAAGTTTTTATATGCATCAGCTTAATACTAAAATGTTCATTTATTTTAGAATGCAGATATAAACAGACGTTATGATTATGTACTATTAGAAAAAGACGAACTTTCTTTAAAATGCAGCGGTGAACAGGTTGTTTATAATTTCAAAGAAAATTGTCGAGACTGTCTTTGCTACTGCGAAGAACCGAATTCAAATTCCACAAACAGATTTATCAGTTTGGATGAAATGGTAACAAACACAGCTGAAAACAAGTAATTCATTTTTAACATAAAAATTATGATTCTAATGTTTATTGTTTATAGGATTATTACCGGAGTTCGTTTAAACAAATACAAGGGTGTAATAACGATAGATATTCGGGAATCGCAACTTAATTGTAACGGTTATATCCAAGCAGACACCACTAAATGGATTATTAATAAAGGGAATACTTATTTTAAGTTAACTAATCCTGATAAAGTTTACATAAAAGTGGGCGAGCTAAAAATCGATGATACAAAAGTTGTTACTGGTACCATCTTTAATTTTTTTAAATTTTTTATTAAAAAAATCTCATTTTAGGTGTACGTTTCATTGAAACAGAAAACGGCGTTGAATTACAAATGAGAGTTAATGAGCATATGGTGTGTGATGGTACAACACTCTTTTCAACAACAAAACACGAATGGGTTTCAAAAAAACCGAAACGTTACGAATCAGTAATTATTGATCTAACAGGGCTAGATCTCCCAACAAAAGCAGAAGAAAATGAGTTATTTAAAATTAAGTCGTTTAATGATAAACGCATAAGAGTTGCACCAACGAGTTTTACCAGTGATGGAGCACAAACGGTGATTCCCTTTTTTGATATTCGCCCAGTTATTACTATACCCCCTATTCCAATAAGAGGGGTTGGTTTAGCGTATAAATCGGCAAATTCTAACAATGGGGGTTATATAGCTCCATATATTGTTGTTGCGGATTTTTCGAAAAACATTGATATTAATAATTTAAAGAAAAAAATGTTACTAACTAGAAGATATGCTTCAAAATCACTTACTCTTTCTGCTGAAATTGTTGTGATAATTATAAATTGTTTTATCTTATTCACTATCTAATTAATTTGTACCCAAAATTGTTTATAATAAAACGAATAAATAATCCAAAGCACAGATTTATTGGTTATTGTGTTTTTATAATGAAAATTCCTCTCACCGAAATAAATCAAAATTTTAACTGGAAATAAAAACTTAAAAAGAATCTTTCAATCCTTTTTTTTTAATATTCATTGTTCATTTTTTAGTCACCCCATATTGATACAATCCTTGAAACGTCCCAGATTCAGAAATAATCCCTCCGACAACATCATCTTCCTCCTCACTTTCACCGTCACTTTCAAAAGTATTATCCGGAATATCATACAACCGAATCATCGGCTTGTTGGGATCCTTCATAATCAAATACTTCCCGTCTTTCTGCTTCATCACCAAATCCACGATGCATCTTAATACACCCCAAGCATTATCCATATTTAAATTAATTTGAGTGGCGAATTCATTTGGCTTGTATTGTTGGGTGCCCAAAATAACATGCCTACTATTATCCCTTACGTGACTTCTTGAAACGTAACCGAATTTAATCTGATCTGAACCGGCTAAAAGAGCTTGAACGGTCCATTTAGCCAATTTACAAGCATTATTTCGAAGTTCGTTAGCCAAAACAGCACCACGCTGGGTGTCTAATTTTTGACGCCATTCAACGCCGTTAGCCAGTTTGGAATCCCATTCGTTAAGGGCTTTGATGGTGAGAAATTGGAGTTCGCCGTTGGGTGATTGAACAACAGCGTCATGTTCGCACCTGGCGATTAAAACGATATCATTGCCAAGATCCCATTTGCGATAACGATAAGCGACTGAAGCGATTTCAGCTCCAGCGTCGTCTTCGTCAGAAATGAATGGATTCGGATTATCAAATTTGTATTTTGGTTCATTGGGACCAGTACGAAGAACCTTAATAATGATTAAATATTTAAATAAATTTCTTTTTAAGGGGTAATACTACCTTGTATTTTTTTATTGGTTTAAATGCTATTCAACAATAATATCCAAAAGTGTTTATGCGGAGGAAACTTTTTTAAATGGTTCACAAAGATCGATTTTTTGAGTAGTCACCATGCCGATTTGCAACTTCTACAGCCGAGAGATATACAGTCGTAACTCCACATTTTGACACAATTACAAAGCACAAAAAGGTTAATGTAAAGGTAATATTAACTCCATACAAGTAAAAAGTGGAGTTACGACTATTCTATACCTCTCTACAGTTCTGTGAGTAACACGTAAAACGCATTTGTCGTCATTGTAGTGACTTACTTAATCTTTTCTTAAATGATTTATTGTGAAAATGAGTGCAACTCAATACCAACCACGAAAAGGAGTAAAAGGTGGTAAAAGCAAGGCGTTTAAAGTACCGGGTTTAGGCGTGCGTCTTCAGACGCACGAATGTTTCTAGTTCTCAATCTAGTATTAGTTCTAGTTTTACAGCACTATCAGTAGAACTAACTATTTACAAAGAGTTGAGCAGCGGTGCTTGGATGGGTTTACTCAAAACTATAACGTAAGTTTTAACGCAATAGTATGGTCAATGGCTCCAAAAATGTTTCCAGTGACAAAGTTATCCTTGATATTGCCTCAGAAAACCACTACGTCAGATTCTTGGAATCTATAACAACCGACACAACAAAAGTCATTGGCGGCTGCATAGCAAGTGGGTTTTTATACTTGCAATGAGCGTTTGTTTATCGTGAATTGCAATCGATTTACGTAACGTAAGTTGTTTTATGCATTTGCGGTGTAATTTCTTATGAAAATAAATCAATGGAAGTGAGAAATAGAAGACAGTAACTTAATTCTCAATCAAAGGGTATTAATTTCTGTAGGTCTATGTTTCGGAAGTGGAATATAAGAATTAATACCATATAATTAAAAAAAACTCTTTGCTTCCTGTTCCTCAAATGGTTCAGATATGTGGACGATATTTTATGCGTATGGAATGGCAACCAAGAAGAACTAACAAACTTTCTACAATACTTAAACCTTATACATAAGAACTTACATTTTACAATTGAAATGGAAAACAACGACAAAAAATTGAATTTCCTAGACATAACAATAGAAAGGAAAACACCAAACTTAAATTTCAACATATATAGAAAACCTACAACAAAAAAACATCATTATACCATGGGAGTCATATCACACCACTACACATAAACTGGCTTTTTTCAGATTCTATATCAACAGACTCTTCACATACCCTCTGGATAAACATAAAATAACAACTGAAATTAACTATATTAGAAACCTTGCAAAAACTAATGATTGTCCAAATAATATAATTAATAATCTAATAACAAACATATACATACAACATGATCCTCTATACTATAAGACCACGTAAAGAAAAACAAACATATAGATCCCTTCCATACAACAATTTGAATTGCACAATTGGTAAATTCCTAAAAACACACAATATCAACATCAGTTATAAAAGTAATAATATTTTCAACAAGTTAACCAACTACAAAATAAAAGAAGAAGACGGTAACTCTAGCGGAATATACAACATACAATGCCAAAATTGCAACAGCATTTACATAGGGCAAACTGGTAGAAAACTGAATAAACGCATAAATGAACACAAAACTAAAAATAATTCAAACGTTTATAAACATTCTATTGAAACCGGCCATAACATCGACTATAAGAATTACAAACTTTTACACAAATGGAATAAGAGCTATAGAATGGACTTATTGGAACACCTTGAAATTGCTAAATACTCTGAAGACCCTAATCACATTTTAATGAACGACCAAATCAATAATATTGAGAACCCACTCTTCTCATTTTTAAGCTCTTATTGTTAGACTAAAAATTATACATATTTTTTGATATTTATTACTACTATTTTTTGTTAAATTTCTATATATAGCTCGTTCATTCGCATTATTCACAACTTGTATTTTTAAAACCAGTTACGTCTCTTTACATTCTTGTACCATTTTATTTTATTATATCAATTTCGCTCTGAGCATTTTAACGTATCCTACCTACTCTAATCCTTGTACTTTAATTTTTTATTATTACTGATGTATTTTAATGTTTTGTATCGCCTTTATAGAAGACAGCTGATGATGAACATAGTTCGAAACTAATCCTGTCATTTAAATTAAATAAATATTACCGGAAGCAAAGAGTTTTTTCTTAATTATATGGTATTAATTCTTATTATATTTAAGGTGTATCATTATTTTAAGAGAGATAATTTTTCCAAATGAAAATAAAACAGAGTTAAAACGTATTGTAAGTGCTACAGGAGTGTCTCTAGCAACTATAAAGAGATTCTTACATGAAGATTGTGATTTACAAGCTTAAAACAATGATGATGATAATATAAGATTCAGTTCTCCTAAAAAACGTAAGAGAATGCGCACGAAAACCAATATAAATAGGAACAAATGAATATTAGAAACATGATTTATAATTTCCACAAAACCGAAGGATGTCCCGTTGCTCTGACACAATTACAACAAAAATTAAGTGTGGAATATGACTTTTTGGAAAAACGTACCTCCCTGCAACAATTATTAAAAACCTTGGATTTAAGTGGAAGAAAACTAATGACGCTCTAAGGTTAAATTATTTGGATAAAATTAAATATTACAGGACTCATGGTAGACCTATTGTCTTTTTAAATGAACCATACATTCACGCAGGTCATACTAGTTCCAATAGTTGGACAGGCAACAGCACTAATGGTTTACTATCACCCATATCTAAAGGCAATCGATTTGTCTCTTGATTTTTAAATCTGAAAATTATGAGAAGTGGCTTACAGAGAAGCTAATTCCAAATCTTCCATCAAAATATGTTGTAGTAAGTAACAATGCATTCCCATAATGTACAAGTACATAAAGCAGCTACTTGCAATTCTGGTTGCTAAGTAAAAATATAGGCACCTTTTTCGCGGAATTTGCGTAATCCATAACTGTATGATATTATTAAATATCATAAAAAACAATACATTATTTACAAATTCGATCGTCTGCTAGGAGAAAACGGACATGTGGCTCTAACGCTCTACCACCCCAATATAAATCCGATTGAACTGATATGGGCTCAAGTTAAAAACAAAGTAGCGAAGAGAAATGTATTATTTAAAAAAAAAAGATAAATTAAACTAGAGGTGTTATTACATAAAAGGTTTAAAAAAGACCATTCTATATTAACCGGTTAGAGACGTTTCGGGATCAACTCCCATCTTCAGTCAACCCTTTGTTTGAATATCTCATTTTTGAGATATTTTTTTAGAGGTTGTTTACTTTATACGAATAAATTTATCACTTCTGTTTCATCACTCTTTAATGTGAAAATTTACAAAAATTTTGATTTTAATAAATAAACTTGCTTATTATATTAAAAACAGCAAAATTACAAAACTAGAAACAAATTACAAATTGCAAAGCAAAGTCTGCTTAGTATAATTCATTATCCAGTAGTAATCAAACTTGTGAATCCTTAACTTTATGGTATAATATCTTAAGAAGGACAAAGAATGGGACATTGTGTTATAAGAATTTTTTATTCAGAAAGAGGAGACCCTTCAAATTTTTTCTACTCATACCAGATACGGCCTGTATAACAAAAAATATGAATCATGCAGTCAATTTCAAAACTGATGTTGGGAAGATAGAGCGCATTACGCGAATATCTTAGATAAATTAAATATATGAAGTGAGAGATAAAGAAGACGGTTGGGAGTTGAAGGAAGTAAGAACGTTTTCCAGTTTTTGGAGTAACGAAATTTATCCTTGAAATTTCATACATTGTTATTTCAAGATAGTCGCACAATTTGGACGCACATACATGTATGTATAGTAATTTGGAAAAAGTATAGATTGAGTTTTTAATGGTTTTTGTTGTGATTTTTTGTAGATATGATTGTGATTAAGAGTAACAAAGGGTTGACTGAAGATGGGAGTTGATCTCAAAACGTCTCTAACAGTTTAATATTGAACATTTACAGAGAAAAAAGTGGTCTTTTTTAAACCTTTTATGTATTATTTAAATTAAACGTTGTGAAAACTCTGACAGAAGAAGAATTTTCATTAGTTACTGTTGAAGACTGGTTGAAGTGTTATCAAAATGTTGTTACAGTTGAAAATAATTATTTAGAAAACGACGTTCGATTGATGTGGCTACAGAAAGTACAGCTTCTGATAGTGAAACTTCTAGTGAGGACGACTTTTAAAATTTATCAGATTAAGAGCTGTGGGTCGATTAATCCAATACAAGTTTCTTTGTTTGTGCCGTTTTTTATCACCTGGTTTATTTTTTCAAGAAAATTGTCGTTATATTTTTTATAACTTAATTTTTCACAACAAAAGCTTGCTGCAAATCCATTAATTAGTTTCTAATATATTCACAAAAAATATTCTAGAAATAACGTAGAAAATTTAAAGGTACGCCACTGCTTGCAAATATCAAAGCAGAATCAATCTTTCCTTTCTGGGAATTTTGGCTCAACAAATATCGCACCAACTGAACCGACTCGCATCTTGCGATCTGAACGCTCCTTGACTAAGCGGCTCGGTTCGTAAAGCGGCTGTATTGTCGAAAAAGGATCAAGAACAGAAGGATGTTCATGTTAAAGGTCAACTGTATGGCCCAGGTATTGCAGATTGAAGGTAAGCAATACATTTCTGTAACATTTCTCATCTCAAAATGACATTTTTCGAAACGGACGACCAAGTGCAGATTTCTAATGATATTCTCAAGTGATGTATGTAGGATTTTTTCAATTGATTAAAATAAAGCGATTTTGTGACTGATTTTCAATCGATCTTAAAAATTTTAAGTACTTCACTACATTTAGGCATACTCTTCCAAAATCATTTTGATTTTTTTCTTCTAGATGAAAAATTGCGACCAGTAGATGATCGCCCAGGCAGATCAACATGTTCCATTCATTAACAATTATACCGCCGTTTTGTTTAAAATAAAATAGATTTCTTTTCTTTCAATAAAATTGTTCTCTCTGACTTACATAAACATGTCTGCAATACAAAATTTAAATATTGATTTACTTATCTTCTATAAATTAGGAAAAATGACCCATGATTTTGTACACACAAGGTAGTATTACCCCTTAACTTAATATTATTAATATTACCTGTTGACTGAAATTATGATTAATAAACGTCGCTTCCAAAGCAAGATTTCGAGGCGAATTTAATGAGTTTCCATCATCTTGAGGTGGCTCAACAGAAGTTTCATTTACAGTCAATAGATCAAACTCGGTGTTGTCACGTTTATCAAAAAACAACTTATTACCTATTAGTTTTATTTTAATATTAAAAATGTATTAAACCTGAATTGAAATAACCTACCAATTTTTTCAATTACAATATCCCAAGAGTAATTTGAGCGAGTACAACACATAATTGTTGCTAAAATTGCATCAGTGGCATAAACATTACCCTCAGTTTTACTTAGTTGACGTATAACTGGGTCATCAGTTGTGGTAACCTAAAAATAATACATTTATATAATTTGTAATACAATTAATAAAAAAACTCACTGTATGAAAGATTCGATTAACACTTTGCAATGGTTTTTCACTTTTAACATTGACTCTATCATAGGATTTATCATAGAACTCCAATTCACCATAACAACCCACATCTTCTCCATCTTTTATATTTGGTAAAGATAATTTCCCAAGCCGTGGAAAATCCATCTCTTCGATTGTTGACCAATCAGGACGAACAGTCACCGAAGCATCTCGAATTTTAATTTGAGGCTAATAAAAAATAAAATAAATCATTAATATAATAAATCGAGAATCTAGTAGACTTACTCTTCCTTGACCCCATTTTTTAATTTGTCCCTTACGATCCCTCTCACGGCTTTTCAAGCCTTTTCCTAAAGCTTGCATGCCTGATTGTTGTCCGGCCCTTCCTCCACGACCTCTCATATTTCTTTGATTAGGACGGAAACGTCCTCTTTGATAAGGCGGCTTTTGAACACGGGTTGTATCAACCAAATGAAAAGTGCTTTCATCTTCATCATGGTAATAAGCATATTGACTGCCAGAACCAAATTGAGAAGCATATTTACCTATAAAATAATAAAAATTTAAATTATTATATCATAAATAATGATATTATTAAAAAAAAATTAAATTAAAAAAAAATTAAATTAAAATAAAATTAAATTAGATAAAAAATGACATAACCTCACTTTAACGTCAACATAACCTCAATTCGATTTTAACCTAACCTAAAAATCCACCCATTTAATCAAAATTAATTACTTACTCGCGTATTTTTTATCTTGAAAAGCGGCTCCGGTCCAATCGCTGATTTTTCCTAGACGATCCCCTTTGCTGAAGGGCTGATAAGGTATGTCTTTAAACTGATCTGGTACTTCACAAGGACCCCAGCCGGTTGGGTTGTCTTGAAACACGGTGGCGACGAAATGGGGCACGTCGTGCTCCAACGGATTGTCGGTAATCATCCTGGACACACAAATAATGTTTATTTAAGTGAACATATTTAGAAATTAGGAAATATTCACGGTTTTTCGAAACTTACTTTGACAGATGCTCACACGACGTGGTTTGGAGTTAAAGAGTTAAAGATAAAATGGCGGTGGTTATTGCCAACCTATAAAAAAGTACTAAAATAGAAGAACTAAAAACTTGTGTTAGGCGAATATATCTGTTTTTGTTTTATTAATTAAAAGTTCTATAGTGCTATCTCTTATAAATTGTCACCTAAAGCACAGTATAAACATGTATATGTAGTATAAACATATGTTTATACTGTGCCTAAAGACAAGAATGTGCTTTGGACACCGATAGATGGCGCGAATACAATATTAATTTTGTAAAATTTATATTTATAAAAAAATTAATATTAAGTATTAACGTTGCAACTAATTACTTTAAATTTCTTTTATAATCCGAACCATTTTATACGATTATTATTTATACTATTTTATACGATTATTATTTAGAAGTTGTTTTGTTTTTTCTTAGTTAGCTCTGAATCTTTTTAGTTATTGTTTTGTTGTATACATAACCTTATTAATTGTTAAGATTATTGTGTTTTATCTTACTTTAATTTAATTTAGTTCAACTTAATTTTCTTTCTTTAATATCTTAATTCAAATTTGTAATATAAATTATTTATAAGAAATATCAAGATATATTTTGAAACTAAAATTTGGTGTTCAACGGTAAGTTCTCGTATTTTTCTTCTTTATTGTTTTTACTTTGTAGTTTAGCTAATTTATATTTACTTTTATGCTTTTCTTCAAATATTTTGTGTTATAAACCGCCTTATTTCATCTAACAGGAGTTTTAGAGGAACGATATAATCTTTTTCTTGCTTATTAAAGCCTAACGAATTAATTGAAGAGTAAGTTCCGATTATTTAAACTAAATTGAAAGTTTTGAAAGTATTTCTTTTCAGATATTATTGTTTAATATGTTGAATTAAAATTTAAAAAACTTTAGTTTTTGGTGTCGCCATCAAAACAGATTTCTACTTTATCGCCCTTATATTCATTTTATCACCAACTCAAAATGTGTTAAATAATAAAGTCACTAGAGTCTAAATCTAGTTCCTTAACATATAAATAAAATATTTATACATTCTTACACTATGCATCTAACGGCGTAGATAGATATAGACCATAATCATCAAACTAAACCGCTATATATAAGGTGTATACTTTTAATTAAAAGTAACATCAAAAACCGTTAAGGAATACAAAAAAAAACGGTTGATTTCGTTTCAAACATTGTTTGAAAATCGCGTCTTGACCTAGTGAATCCTGTGCTTCTCTAGTTCTGGTGAAGAGTTCTGGAAAAATGTCATCATTTCGGTTTACACACGCTGTGGTTTCGAGGATTCCTTTATCATTACGTACACGGGGCGAAATCGAATTGGAAGAGGCCAAAAAACAACACGAATCCTACGTAAGACTTCTGCGAGAACTCGGCCTGGACGTTATTGAACTTCCACCGGATGAAAGCCTTCCTGAGTGCGTCTTCGTCGAGGATACAGCCGTTGTTTGTAATGGAACAGCTTTAATTACACGACCTGGGGCCACTCACCGACAAAAAGAGGTAAAATATGATTAATGAAAAATTAAATAACTTTATTCCATAATCGTCCAGATCACCGTTATACATTAAAATTGACCCCCCTTGACCTAAATAATATATTTTTAGTCTACTGTGTAATTTTTCTCGTAAATTAGCTGACCTTGGTTGGCCCAAACCTGTTAATTTATAAACTACTTCTAAATAAAACCGCGAATTTTCCTTGAACGAATCATTTGGTTTTAAAAATGAACCTACATTAAAAGATTTTTTAACTTTGTTGAATAAGCCATAGTTGAATACAATGGAAAGGTTTGAATGGAGAAAATAAAGCTTTGTTATCTCAACTAGAAAAGTTGAATGCTGAATGTGAAGCTTACTTTGAATAGACACGTTTGTTAAATGAAATTGATCTCTATTTTTAAATAGAACTTACATAATATATGAGTTCAATTTAAATATCAAAGTTCTAATTAAAAATAAAAAACATGTTTAAGTCTTATTTGAAATATTGTTTTAGGTAGAAACGATTAGGGTGGTTTTAAAGAAAGAATTGGATCTACCAATTATAGAAATATCGGATCAAAACGCACGATTAGATGGAGGGGATGTTTTATTTACAGGTAATAAATCAAATTTATAAAAGATTATATCAAATTTTTGTTTGGGTTTATTTAGGACAAGAGTTTTTTATCGGTATATCTCAATGGACGAACGAAGCTGGAGCTAGCGCGGTAGCAGCAGCTTTTCCTGAATACCCTTGCACACCGATTAAGGTAAAACCAAACTCTTTGAAAACGGCCGATTTGTCATACGGCATATTGGAGGTGAGAGCGTGTTGTATTGGGTAGATTTGGATTTTTAAAAACACCCAAGTACTTAATCAAGCACGCCAAGTCCCCTTTATTTATGTACATTATTGCTATTTTTTATTAAGAGTATTAATAGTTAATTTTTTGCGGTATATTCTCACAAAAAGCACCGTTTCCAAGAAGCTTTTTTTATTTATATTTGAATAATATATCTTGTTTAACCCTTTAATATATACATTTTTATACAGTGTATCTAGAATTGTACATTCAGCATCATAAAAAATGCATCACCTAAAATGATGACCAGTTTATTGTAATTATCACCATAAAAGTGTTATTTTGCCACTGTTAAAACAAAAAAATTAAAATTTACTCTCTGAATGTATGTGGTTGGCCATGTATGTAATACAGCATGGTCAAAAGCTGGGTTATCATTTATGCATATTCAATTATCTTCTGCAGTTTTGATGGTTTTAAAAATTTAGAGCAAAATATGAGAAAGTACTGTTTTTAATTATTTCAATATTGTTGTATAAGGTACTCATCATCATTAATTGCTATACTCTGTTTTTAAACCAGGAGGAGTAAACGCGAAAGTCAGATTTACACTAAGAAAAATCCCCAGAAAATATCACTAGATATTTGGCGGTAAATTTAAATTAATAATTATTATTATTTATTTATTTACTTATTACTGTGAAATTTGTTGTGAACGACTATTAGGGCCACGATCCATACCTTGTTCTAAAAAGAACAGATTTCACTCAATTAAATTGAAGACGCAAAAGGGTTTAAACAAAATTTACAACAATGACACGAAACTGTCGATTTATTAATAACCTAACCTTCAAATTCAAAATTGCCTGTGTGTGAAACTTCCTCGCATTCAACCAATCACGTGCAAGGTCAATCTGGTGAAAAATTTAAAATACTCGTCCTGGTTTAAAAACAGAGTATAGTAATGAGCAGTTTTCAATTAACAGCTCTCAAAACGACCGGCAAGCTCATCTAGCTCATCTACAAATTTGTCGATGTCATTTGCTGACGTGTGGCGTAAACATATATCTATTGATGGTTGGTCTCAAGTACGCAGCGAACCTATAGTATGTGCTAGCGTAACCACTGAAACTGGACACTCTTTTTTATATGAAACTATAGATATATCTGGAAATCCCCATACAAGTGACTATTTAACTGATATTGCTTGCAATATAATTTCCTCATGTAAATCAAAATACATCTGTATCATGCATCATTTGTAACAGATAGTGCTAATATGGCACTGATGAGAAGAACCATACAAGAGAAATTGGACCCCAGATGACTTATGGGTGTCCAGCTCACCTTCTAAACCTACATTGCAAAGATTAAGAAGTAACAAATACAAAGAGCTCATTACACAAATTATAAAATATTTTACAATTAACCAATTAGCTAGGGCCAAATATAGACGGCTTGATGGGAAAGCATTAGTGCTGCCAAGTGATGTGAGGTGGAATAGTGTAGCAGATTGTTTGGAATAGAGTTGAGCTACTTGCAGTGAAAAATGTACTGCAAGTAAAGTATTCAGTACTTGTTTACTGCCAGTACTTTCAAATTGTAGGTACTTAATACTGGTACTTTCAGTATTTAGCTTAAAATGGATACTTGTCACTTGTTTGACATTAGAAGTACTTGAACTATTTATTTACTCCCAGTATAATAATCTTAGGAATTCTATGAAATCTTCATGGTATGTTTGAAATATCTGTTGAAATATTCTGGAAATACTAAAAAATGCCCACATAAATCTTTGGGAATAACTAAAAATCGTGGACATTCGTAAATTTCTAAGATATCCTTAGAAATCATTCTAAAATCTTGGATACACTAAAAAATCCTAAGATATCCGTAAAAATCGATGTATATCTTTGAAAATGTGTCTACATTCCTTAAAATTGTTAGAAATACCTAGTTTTATATAAAAATTTTTGGAAATCGTTTCAAAATCAATAGATATGTTTGGAAATTCCTATACAATCTTCTAAAAACTTGAAATTCTGTAAAAATCTCTGCAAAATCATAGATAACCTTAGGTATTCTGAGAAATTTTTATGGTATACTTAAAAACCCGCCAAAATCTTTTGGAAATCCCTGGAAATACTAAGAAATGCCTACATAAGTGTCTGGGAAGAATTAAAAATCCTCGCCATCCGTAATAATCTCTGGATACCCTTGGAAATCCTTCCAATTTTTCTAAAAATCAATCAAAACCCTTGGATACACTCAAAAATCTTTTGATATCCGTAAAAATCAATGGATATCTTCAAAAATGTGTCTAAATTCCTTAAAATTTTTAAAAACAGCCATTTGACTATGAAAATTATTAGAAATTGTTTCAATATCCCTAGATATGTTTGGAAATTCCTATAAAGTTCCTAAAAACTTGACATGCTGTAAAAATCTCTGCAAAATCCTAGATAATCTCAGGTATTCTGAGAAATTTGTATGGTATACTTGAAAATTCGTAGAAATCTTTTGGAAATCCCTGGAAATACTAAGAAATGCCTACATAAGTGTCTGGGAAGAATTAAAAATCCTCGGCATCCGTAATAATCTCTGGATACCCTTGGAAATCCTTCTGATTTTTCTAAAAATCAATCAAAACCCTTGGATACACTCAAAAATCTTTAGATATCCGTAAATCGATGGATATCTTCAAAAATGTGTCTAAATTCCTTAAAATTTTAAAAGATAGCCAGTTGACTATGAAAATTATTGGAAATTGTTTCAATATCCCTAGACATGTTTGGAAATTCCTATAAAATTCCTAAAAATTTGAAATTCTGTAGAAATCTCTGCAAAATACTAGATAATCTCAGGTATTCTGAGAAATTTGTATGGTATACTTGAAAATTCGTAGAAATCTTTTGGAAATTTTCTAGGAATACTAAGAAATGAATACATAAGTGTCTGGGAAGAATTAAAAGTCCTGAACATTCGTAATAATCATTGGATATCCTTGAAAATTCCTTTAATTTTTCTAAAAAACCTTGGATACGCTCAAAAATCTTTAGATATCCGTAAAAATCGATGGATATCTTCAAAAATGTGTCTAAATTCCTTAAAATTTAAAAAAATAGCCAGTTGACTATGAAAATTATTGGAAATTGTTTCAATATCCCTAGACATGTTTGGAAATTCCTATAAAATTCCTAAAAACTTGAAATTCTGTAGATATCTGCAAAATCCTAGATAATTTCAGGTATTCTGAGAAATTTGTATGGTATACTTGAAAATTCGTAGAAATCTTTTGGAAATTTCCTAGGAATACTAAGAAATGCATACATAAGTGTCTGAGAAGAATTAAAAGTCCTGAACATTCGTATTAATCATTGGATATCTTTGAAAATCCCTCTAATTTTTCTAAAAAACTCATTCAAAAACCTTGGATACACTCAAAAATCCTAAGATAAAAATCGATGAATAGCTTTGAAAATGTGTCTAAATTCCTTAAAATTTTTAGAAATACCTAGTTGTACATAAAAATTTTTGGAAATCGTTTCGAAATCCCTGGATATGTTTGGTTTTAAATTCCTATAAAATCTTGTAAAAACTTGAAATTCTGTAAAAATCTCTGTAAAATCCTAGATAGCCATAGATATTTGGAGAAATTTGTATGGTATACTTGAAAGTTCGTTGAAATCTTTTAGAAATCTCCTGGAAATCTAAGAAATGCTTAGATAAGTGTCTGGGAAGAATTAAAAATCTTTGATATTCGTAATAATCCATAAATATCCATGGAAATCCTTCCAATTTTTCTAAAAATCATTCAAAAACCTTGTATACATTCAAAAATCCTAAGAAATTTGTAAAAATCTGTGGATATTCCTTGAAATCTCTAGAAATATTTAGTTATTTTTGGAAATTGCTACAAAATCCTTGGATGTATTTGGAAATTTTCATAAAACCTTTTAGAAAAGCTGAATATCGATAGAAATCTCTGGAAACTCGTTGGATTCCTAAAAAATCCTGAGAAATTCGGATGATATCTTTGAAATTCTTATGAGAATACTTGGAAATGCTTATATGAATCTTTACGAATCGTTTAAATCTGAGATATTATTAATGGATATCCTTTTTTCTTGGATATTCTTGTAAATTCGTACAATTTCTGTAAAAATCCTTTAAAATCTTTCGATTCACTCAGAAATAACAGGATATCTTTGAAAATGTAAGAAAATTGTTGCAAAATCTCTACGACTTATTTGGGAAATTTTGCAAAATCTTATAAAAATCGAAATATGCGTAGAAATTTCTGGAAAATGATAAGTTTCAATAACACTGTTATACCGCGTGTGGTTACTCAGTACAGGATAATTATTTAAAAATACAAGATATATTTATGTACATTCAAGGGTTGTAATTGCTTTATACTAAAATTACTTATTACTCCAAGTAGTTTTTAAAAATACTTGTTACTTATTACTTGCAGTAAAAATAATTTATACATACATACATTTATAATTTATACGTATAATTTACACTGGTTACTGGTAGTACTTTTCCTTTGTACTTGCAACAGCTCTGGTTTGGAACTATATGTAAGCCAATGGGAGAAACTATTAAAAGTGTGTGACGAGAATAAAAAGGAAATAGACTCGACAATATACAAAAAAGTTTCTTAAAACCTATAGCCGTAGCATTTGACAAATTACAAAAAAAAAGAATGCTTTCCTATCTGACGCAGGGGAAGTTTGGAAAGAATTATCATCAGTACATATGAATGTTTTTGATAAACGGTATAAGCAGGTATTTATGTCTAATCATTGCATAACCTATATTTTAAATGTTACTAAAACTACGTATAAGTTAACATACGTAGAAAAAGAAGATAATACCGATTTATTACCGCTAATTATAAAACTACAAGCAAAAATAGATCCATTTTTATCAGTAATGTTTTCAGAGAAAGTCTTATGGAATATAAGTGCTTTACAATGGTGGGTGTTACAAAAATACATTGTTGAAGTAGAAAAGGTACTGCCAATATTAAAGCAATAAATCCTTTGATTTAAATTAGTCGAACCCTGATCAGAACAGACGAGACTACAAGCTCCTTATGTTTAAAATTAATTTATTTGTCGGTGCAAGCATGCTGTGGGAGCGCCAAAGTGTAGAAAGATTGAAAAGCGACAAAATGGAGAAGGTAGAATTATTGGCAAAGGGTAAATAAAAAAACCTTATTCAAATCGAGCAATACGTTCAAAAGTTATTGCAGTTTAAAACGTCATCATTTTAGGTGATGCGTTTTTTATGCCGCTGTATGTATGAACAAAGAAAAGTGGAAAATGTTTTAAAATAATATTTAATTTGAATAAAAAATTCAAATAAAACAATAGTTATTGAAAATGTTGGTGGTAATAGTGTATTTTTCCATTTTAAAGAGCTATTTGGTGTTTTAGAGATATAATATTGAGACACTTGTATAATCAAGTAACTAAATTTTTATATCGAAATGTTTTATTAAAGGGTTATAATTTATATTCAATTTATGTTAAAAAAATAATTAATTTAGGTTCCAGAAGCAAAACATTTAAAATCATTTGTAACAATGGCCGGTCCAGATCTTCTTTGTGTCGGTCAAGGAAAAGAAGCACAAGAAGTATTAAAACGAATGGAAAGAGAAGCGACGTTCAGTTATCAAACTTTAACGGTTCCTGATGATGAAGCAGCGAATGTTTTATACGTAAATGGAACGTTAGTTCATCGATCCAATGAGGAAATTCCGAATTCGTTTAAAGTATTTTCGGAAAAAATTGATTATCCGCGTCGATGTATTCCATTTTCGCAGTTGGCGAAAACTTCCAGCGGGTTAACGTCGAGTTGTATACTAGTCAAAAGGTCCAGACATATTAGAAATTTATAAAAAAATGTTTAGGTCAAATAAAACATAATAATAAAAAGTTTGAATATCACCAGGTGGTCTTCAAATCAAAATTTGGACCAAATCAGGCTCAAACTAATTAAAAGAGAAATGTTAGAAAAATTTAGCCCAAAAATTAGTCTGCAAAAATGATCTGTTTCTAATAAATTTAATCACTTTTATTAAAATCGGACTGAATATTATAAAAAAAATTTAAACAAGCGTATACAAGTCCAATTATTAATTGAATACTGTTAGGGACATTTCAGAGTTTTTATAATATATGTTAAAGTTTAAAAAATTAGTTGCGTTTAATATTAAAAAAAAAATTTGCGCAACTCATTTTGACTAATTGACAAAAAAGAAAACACTTATAGGAAAATGTATTTTTGATGTGTAGATGGTGAGAATACAATTTAAACTATTAATCGTAATTAATACAAAGTGATATTTAAAACAAATGGAAAGATCTTTGTGAACTTTAAAGATCTAAATGTTAAAAAAAAAATAAATGTGTTCAATCTCTTAATCATTCCAAGAAAATTTAAATGTATCTACAAACATATTTTCGTTTTTTGATGTGTACCTTTTTTATTATTTCTTTTTGAAGTAGTTCAATAAGATATAAAATGTCAATGTTTATCAAAAAAAAGTTTTTGATAAATACTTATTTTTCATTCCAATTCAATTGCATTTATTTATTTGTAGGTTTTACTTCTTAGTATTTTTTTGGTAGCTTAGTATTTTTTTTGAATACTTTCTATTTACTTTATTGTGTATTACCTAGGAAATAGTAATCCTAAAAGATTGCAAATCTTCCAAAATACAAATCTCTTCCTTACTTTTCTCTTCACTACTTTTCTAAAAAGTAGTGATAAAAAAGCACATCTCAACAATAATTTATTGTAATTATTGTATAGTCTAGTCTTGTTTTTTGTATATGTGTATTTTTTCCTTCTTTTTATTTCTTTTATTATTTTAAAAATTTTATTTTGTAACAATGTAGTATTTTGGTGTAATAATGATTAATATATTTTTTTTGTTATTTTATTTTAAACGTGTAATAAATGTGACAAATAATTACGAGTTTAAGAATGTCGTTGGTAAGGATAATTATTATTATTAATGTTAATAGTTTATTTTTTTGCTCGATCTTTTTAGAGTTAATTATTTCTTTTTAATTTTGTGTTTATCATTGTATATTTGTGGGGGAAAATATATAAATCAGTGTATACAATTTATTGTTTAAATAATCGTAATGCAACAGTCCCTTAAAGCCAAGGCACTACATCTTATTTCATTAAACAGTTATTAAGTGAGGAAATACAATCTGTACCGTTAAAATAATAATTGCCGAGGTCGCTTGCGGCCGAGGCACTACATTCTACTACATTAAACCGTTATTAACTGAGGCCATACAATCTGTAGCGTTAAAATGATAATAACGAGGTCGCTTGCGGCCGAGGCACTACATGCTACTCTATTAAAGAGATATTAACCAGAACGATGTAAAATAAAGTGATGAAGAGATAATTGCCGAGGTCGCTTGCGGCCGAGGCACTACATCCTATTCCATTAAAGAGATATTAGCCGAGGCGCTTCAATATAAACTATTAATGAATGTCGTCGAGGCACTACATCTTATTTCATTAAACAGTTATTAACTGAAGAGATATAATCTGTACCGTTCAAATAATAACTGCCGAGGTCGCTTGCGGCCGAGGCACTACATCCTACTACTACATATAAAACGTTATTAATTGAGGAGATACAATCTGTACTATTAAAATAATGATTGCAGAGATTACTCGCGACCGAGGCACTACATCCTACTCTATTAAACAGTTATTAACTAAGGAGATACAATCTGTACCGTTAAAATAATAATTGCCAAGGTCGCTTGCGGCCGAGGCACTACATTCTACTACATTAAATCGTTATTAACTGAGGCCATACAATCTGTAGCGTTAAAATGATAATTGCCGAGGTCGCTTGCGGTCGCGGCACTACATCCTACTACTACATTAAAACGTTAGTAACTGAGGAGATACAATCTGTACTACTAAAATAATAATTGCCGAGACTCTATAATCTGCTCCGCTAAAGAGGTAGTAGCTGACATTCCTTGCGTCATAATATCAGCTACTAAAACACACCATTAAAGAGATACTAGTCAAGGTCGCTGTGGCCGAGACATTACAGTCTGCTTCGTTAAAGAATATCAACTGCGGTTCTACAATCTGTAACGTTTGAGATAATAGCCAATATAGCTTATAGGCTTCAATCTACACTATTAAAAAGATACTGACAAAGAAAGGCTCCCGACTGTTAATTTCAGAAAAATTTGATATTTCGGTGTCAACATAGAGAGTATAGCGGGGGTGAAACACACCTTCGTGTATTAGAGCGTATACTCTTTATATTTAATAACACCATAAGGATAAGACATTTGATTTAGAACAAAGAAAAACAATTTTACAATTAATTTGCTATCCCAGCACCACAAAATTATCCGTCTAAATTCGAATATTACCTCTCAATTTCTTTCTTTAAAGATAAAATGCTGTAAAGCACGTCTTTTGCAGCTATCTAATATTGAAAGCTCCGTGTGCTGGCTTCGTTAGGGTATTCGGAGCAAGTAATACCTATTTTGATGCCTAAACGCTAGGATTCTTTTCTCGAAAAGTAATATTGGAATTTTTTACAACTTTTACACTTGACTTGTTGTGAAATCGCAGAAACACGACCAAAAAATTATAATTCTATTTGCGAATTAATAATTTATGACAAAATCTTCCGCATTACCCTCAATTTCATATCTGTTTATCTTCTCTGCCCAGTCTTTTTTTGCTCTCTAGTCTCCGTTCAGTCTTTTTTTTTCCTCTCTCTCGTATCCTCTTTTATGTGTTATCAGATCCCTGCATATCATGTCAGTTGCTGTACAGTCTCTTATTTTAATTACTTTTAGTTTTAATATTTAGATACAATAAGATTTCTAAATCTTATTTTGAAATCGTGCTCTATCAACTTATATGATGTATTATGTAATGTCATTGCGACGATTTCATGTAGTTCAGTCTTAAATTTTGGTTTTTGGACAAAAATTATCATGCATTACATAATTAAGCTTAGAGAACTTGTTGCACCATGGTAAGATAATTATAAATCTGTGATTTGGAGAATTATTTATATTTCTTTCAGATTTGTGCATTCAACGCAACAATGTTTAACATCCATAACAACGACATACAAAGAGAAGTTAGATCTTTTCTCATACTTGTAGAAAGTTACATTAAAGAGAAAATAGTTTATGAATTGATGATGTTGTATTAAATATAAAATAGCCAGTACAATATCTTTGAGTCAGAATTTATCTCGTATAATTCTTGAACTTATTTGCAGTTCGTGGTCAGTGTCGTCCTTCTTTCTATTACCGATCTGTTTCCTGGTTCAGTATGATGTAGTTCATAATCTCTTTCATGTCTCGTGTTCTTGTGTTACTAGTCTTTGTTAGTCCCACTTTGCAATGTGTCACCTTTCTGCCCTGTCGCTATCTTCTCTTTCCAGTCTCTGCTAAATATTTTTCTTCTACTACTTGTCTCTTCTTTTATGACAATTCCTTGTTTGTCTTTACAGTCTTTTTGAATCCCAGTATTGCCAGCCATTTTAACTTTCATGTCTCTGATCAATCCCTTCTTTTTACTTTTTGAAACCAGTTTCTCTTCCAGTCTCTTCTCATCTTTCAACTTTCTGGCGTCATGCCTTCTGCACAGATTCGTTTTTCTCTTTCTGGTCTCTGTTCAGACTCTTCCTGCCATTACTAAGTAGAGTCTTCTTATTGTCTTTTGAGTCTTCCTGCAAAGTCTTTTTTTCTTTCCAGTTTCTATTATCAGTTTATTTTTAGCCTTTCTCATTCTGCCCAATCACTTTCCAGTTTTCATCTATTCAGCTCTGTTTCTTGATCTTTCCAGTTTCTGTTTGATTTCCTCCTTCTATTATCAGTCTCTTTCAAACTCTCTCCTTTCTGCCATTTCAATTCATCAATTTTTTTCCATTTCTAATAGTCTCTTTTCAGTTTCCCGACTTTCTGTTCTATCCCTTCTTGCTCTTTCCAGTGTGTTATCAATAGTTTTTTTTTCTATTTCCGGCATTCTTTTCATTTTGCCCGTTCCCTTGCTAAAATTTAACTAATCATAAAAACGAGCCTAAAAAAAGTCTGTGCAAGAAAGAGGTAACTCGTTTACCTCATTTAGAAGAGTGTTGTCGTAGACAAAACTTATACGCCTTAATTTTATGAGTGTCTTTTAAGATTGATTTTTAATCGCGATGGTTATAAAAATTAAAGAGTTCTGAAGAAACGGAATGGTATAAACGAGGAACAGGTATACGATTAAGTTCAAGTTAGTAACGTTTGATTAACGATAAAAGGAAATATGTTCACTTATCTTGTTTCTTTCCGGAGATGTGACATGTCAGTTAAAAATGGCTGGCTGACCTTGATCTTGAGGGATGGGTATTCTTCGGTGTTAGAAATTTAGGATTCTCGGGTCCTTCGGGAACAGGATGGAAGATTGGACTCGAACTCAGGTATGGTTTCGATTTTTTCGAAGATAATTCAGAAACACTTATTTACTTTTACTTGATAAAAAAAATTGAGTTGTCAAAAAAAAATTCTAAGTTCAGGCTTAGGTTAGAAAATTTTAGGTTAAGTTGACATAGATTCGACAACGCTTGGCTCTAGCCAAATTTGAACTCTCCCGGATGTCAATTTGCGCGGCCTTATATACCCTTTTTGGACAAAGGCTTCTTGGATATCCGAATTTGATCGTCTCAGTTTGAATCTGGACGCTCTGATTGGTTGATTAAGTAGCGGGAATTATAAATTACACAGGTTAGCCAAACTAATTCATTTTTTTAAAGAAAATAACTGTCAATGTTGAAAATATTCGAAATTATTAATAAACTTTAAATTTGATTAAGTTTCTGTAATTTTGTAGCTAATTTTTCGTTTTTTTTTTAGATAAACGCGCTTTCGGGTGTCAATTTCTTTCGAGAAAGTCGTAATTTGATGTTGAAGTTTGAAAATGAAAAATTGGAATTTAAATATATAAAATGATACAGAAATGGATGAAATTGCGGCCTATGGGCTAAATCGATACAATCTATCGATCTCGCATGTTTTTTGAATCTAAAATCGTCTGAAAAGTCGCCAAAATCAATACCTGTCAAAAATGTAAATGACAAGGTCAAATTTGAAAGACTTCAAGGAATTATGTACCTCTTTTTTGCACATCACCCTAATTTTTCTTAAATCTAAACGAAAATCATAACAAAACGTAACTACTTAGCCTAATCCATAATACTAATTCTAAGAGCCGAAAAATCTTGGATTTCACCCCGCAAACATTAAGTTATTTTTTGTGTAAATCTGAAATTAATTACTCTTGGACAAAGAATTTATTTGCGTTATAAAAAGGTTACACTAGCTGCTGTAGTAGCTTTGTTGCAAAGGCCTTGTCGATTTAATAACCCATATTGGGAACTCAACAACATTCATTTAGTTAGATATATAATGCTGAATGTGATAGAATTAAGCAAAATACTTTGAAAAGCTATCAGAATTGAGCCTAACCAAAACAAAGGAAATAATTACAAAAATCTGGTTTAAATAAGCATCTTTATTAGTTCTTTAAGAAAACAGTATTTATAATAAAAATTCTTTAGTAAATAGATGAAGTAAAGTTGAAATGAAGCGAAATGGGGAAGACAAAAACCTGAAAATAATTAAAATTTCAAAAAATTGATTAAAAACGTATTATTCTAACTTACTTCATAAGCAAATTTGTTATATTTCACTTGACGAACTTTTTTTTTGGTGTTAATATGCCACACTTATTCTTTTTTGAACACTTAACATAGACCAAAGCACAATACATAGAACGTAATACTCGCTTTGATTTGATCAATAAATTCCAAATGAAATCATGCCAACGACGTTCCTTTGAGTTTAGCAATTCTTTCAAGATGTCTCCTTTCAAGCATATCCTCTATTTGTAGGAGCATAGGGCGAAAATGTTCCTCCATCTGAACGATAGGATTAAAGTTAAGGATGAATAATGCGAAGAAAAATTAAAAAGAAAATCAATTTTGAATGGCAATTAATGTTCTTTATTAACGCCCATATTGCTCGCGGGTTTTTCTTGTTGTTTTGAAAATAAAGAGGTAAACATAAAACTTGCATTTTAAGGTGGTGTTTTGTGTTTCTAAACACGAATTAACACGTATCTTACAAGTTATATACAGTAGGTACGCGATCTTCACAAAATTTTTCTACAATTACCAATAAAAACGATCATTAATACTTGTTGCAATTTTTATAACGTCTAATTTTTTTTAAATTGATTTAAGATAACTTTTTTGTTACAAGCTTCTATCCACATTGTTTTTTAAAAGATGGTTTTTTTTTAGAAAAGACAAAAAAATATGTATGTGTCGAATTTTTATGTTGTTTTTAGCGTTTATTTAACTTTTTTTTTAAAATAAATTAATATTACAACTATTAATTTAAGGGTTTCTCTTTTCGCTTAATTTTTTTCGTGATTTTTTAAATTATTTTTAAATCTCCAGTACTAATACTGTTCATGTCACGACTTGACGGTAGTAACGAAAAATACAAGAACGGACGCTCAAGACAGCATTCAACGTCCGGAATGAACTGGTTACATCGCTACCGTTATGACGCGACCCCCAACAGTACAAAAAGATGAAAATTAAAACACGGCTGCTAAATTATTATTAAATATTATGATGCGACTAAAAACGGATAATTTTTTTTTTAAACTGTAAATTATTTTTTGTTTCGTTTCGAAAATTAGAAAAAAAAACACAAAAAAGAATGAAAAACAAAAAGAAATTAAAATAAATTGGATTATGACGACGCGTAAAATTTCGATACTATTATTTAATATTATTAACGTTATCGTAGGTGTTTGCTTAGAGCAAGTTCTTGATCTCGTCGTAGAGTACCAGTACGATAGCTCCACCTGTACCACGGAGGACGTTTGAGAAGGCTCCTTTGAAGAATGCTTTGGATCCTTCAGTTTTGGCGATGGTAACCCAGCAATGAGCTGTGCTTCTGTAGACTACTTCAGCCTTCTTGCGACCAGATTGCATCATCATACGCCTACGCACTGTATCGAATGGATAGGAAATAATACCAGCAACAGTCGTTACAGTCTGTAAATAAAACGGCGAATTACATAAAAGAAATACTTTTTTTTATGTTGAGTACGTACTTGAGCAATAGCCCAGGAGATGATAATTGGAGTGTTCTTGGGGTCTGGCAACATTCCCTTGGCAGTGTCGTAAATACCGAAGAAGGCGGCACGGTAGATGATAATACCTTGTACAGATACACCGAATCCACGGTACAAACCAATTAAACCATCAGCTTTGTAGATTTTCATCAGACAGTTTCCTAAACCGCTGAATTCACGTTCAGCTCCGGCTTTACCGACATCAGCAGCTAACCTAAATTAAGAATAATAAACAATATTAAAATATGTTAATCTATAAAAAATTAATTAAGACAAAATGAAGAAATCGCCTGATGATGAACTTACAGCTCGAAATCAGTATCACATAAAATAAATTTAAAGAGAAAGACAAAATTTTCATAAATTTTGGATGTTACAAAAATTATCTGGCATAACATAATTGGGCTTAGAGAACTTGTTGCACCATGGTAAGATAATTATAAATCTGTGATTTGGAGATTTATTTATGTTTCGATTTGTCTCCGATTTTTCTGCTGGTTTTTATGACTTAATTGCAGTCATATAACTAACAAAGAGGGGGTTGTAAACAGGTAGTTGACGAACCCCAATCTCCAGCGTGAGTTGTTCAGGTCGAAAATTAAAAAAAACATAATATTTAAAAACAATATTAATATAATTCGTGAGGAATATAATAATATTTCATCCGAATTGTGGTCGCAGTGCGTAAAACACGTGAAAGATGTCGAAGATTCGTATGTGTCGCCACATGTACAGCGTTTTATTATTAGTGTTGATGATTCTTCTGATGACGACAGCTTAGAATGCGCGGAAAGTGACAACTGTTATGACACTGATGAAGAATCTTGAATTAACGAAAATCGCCGGTTAGAAATGTTAAATAATTCATATTGAAATAAAATTTTAAAAAAAAGTGCGTCCCTGGACTTAGTTCGCTAGGAGGGCCTATCATAAATCACGATCAGGTACTTTTTCGGGGTGATAATTACTACTGCTGCTACTGTTTCTGAGGATCATAAAAACCACCAGAAAAATCGGAGACTGTACTTATAGAAACCTACATTAAAGAGAAAATAATCGTTCATCAATTGATGATGGGATATTAAATATAAAACAGCCACTACAATATCTTTAAGTTAGAATTTATCTCGTGTAATTCTTGAAGTTTAAAAACATATGATCTTGTAGGCTTTTTCTTTAAATATGGTATGCGTACAGTATAAAATGTAATCTAGTGTGATAACAAACTTCTGTTCTTCAAGTCTGAAATATGTGATTTAGGCAGTGTTATTTCAAACTTTCTTCTTGCGCTTTAGTTAGTGTAATCCATACTTTTTAAAGGCCCTGTATGAGTCTGTAAAGTCTATAATCAATCTTCAAGTCTGAAACTTAGCTAGTGTTGAGTCTATACCCGTGGGTGTTGAGGTTAAAAAAATTATAATTCTATCTGCGAATTAATAATTTATGACAAAATCTTCATCGCAAGTTTTTAACAGTAACCCTTCCGCATTACCCTCAATTTCATATCTGTTTATCTTCTCTGCCTAGTCTTTTTTGCTCTCTAGTTTCCGTTCAGTTTCTTTTTTTGCATTACCAGTCTTTCTGCTTTTGCTCTTTTATGTATTACCAGATCCATGCATATCATGTCAGCAGCTGTACAGTTTCTTGTTCTAATTACTTTTAGTTTTAGGTTTCGTATTTGCAGTTTGTGGTCAATGCCGTCCTTCTATTACCGATCTGTTTCCTGGTTCAATATGATATAGTTCATAATCTCTTTCATATCTCGCGTTCTTCTGTTACTAGTCTTTGCTAGTCCCAGTGTGCAATGTGTCACCTTTCTGCCCTGTCGCTATCTTCTCTTTCCAGTCTCTGCTATATATTTTTATTCTACTACTTGTCTCTTTCCAGTGATGTTCTTTTATGACAATGCCACGGTTGCCTTTACAGTCTTTTTGAATTCCAGTCTTCCCAGCAATTTTAACTTTCATGTCTCTGATCAATCCCTTCTTTTTACTTTTTGAAACCAGTTACCCTTCCAGCTTTCTTGTCTTCCAACTTTCTGGCGTTATGCCTTTCTGCACAGATTCGTTTTTCTCTCTCTTGTCTCTGTTCAGACTCTTCCTGCCATTACTAAGTAGAGTCTTCTTATTATCTTCCAACAAAATCTTTTTTTCTCTTTCCCGTTTCTATTTATTCCTTCTATTATCAGTTTATTTTTAGCCTTTCTTGTTCTGCCCAATCACTTTCCAGTTTTCATCCATTCAGCTCTGTTTCTTGATCTTTCCAGTCTCTGTGTCTCTGTTTGGTTTCCTCCTTCTATTGTCAGTCTCTTTCAAACTCTCTCCTCTCTGCCCTATCGCTACCTTCTCTTTTTTGCCTCAATTCACCCACTTTTTTCAATTTCTAAGTCTTTTTTCAAACTTGTTCTTTCAAAGGCAGTGTTGTTTCAAACTTGTTCATGACGTTTAGAATTTTTAATGTAATTTCTAACATCTTTTTAAAGTTAGGTACTACCAGATTTCTTCTTGCGCTTTAACCAGTGTAATCTAAACTTTTTAAAGGCCGTGTTTGATTCTGTAAAGTCTAAGTCATGTAAATTCCATTTTCAATTTCTTCTTCAAGTCTGAAACCTGTCTAGTGTTGAGTCTATACCCGTAGGTGTTGAGGTTCACTCATTAGTTCTTTATTTAACTTTAAGACAAAATTTTTCCACTTTGCCAACTTCATTGCCTCTTAAGATAATTGCCAATAAGATCTCCCCCACTTGGCTCGTGGTCTTCCTTTCTTATTTTTACCCTCCGTCTTGGTTTACCTAATAATTTTCACCTGACTATGAAGCCAGGTAATATGGACTCTCACATGGCTGTGACAAATTGTTACCAAAAGAAAGTCATGCTGAGAATTCTACAACATGTTGGGTAACTTCTTTTGTATATAAATATTTATATTAGAAGAGTTATCATTTTTATCTTGTCTGTCATAAGAAAAACAAGATCTTGGTCGGATTTGTCCAAATACTCCATTGTATGCTTCAAACCATCAGCGCAATAAATACCCTTTTTCTCAAAGTGCTCGTTCAGTGCAATGTACATTTCCATCGCCTATATTCGGTACTTCTGCCTTTTTGTCATTAACCAGCTTTCATAGCCATGGACCATTTTTGTATTTCTGATAATTTCTATCTCGTTGAAAGGATCTTCTGAGAGATTGAAATACTATACCCTCTGCCCCTATTGTACTGTTGAGTGACTTTATTGTGATATCTGTGGCCTCTAAGTTTCTTACTTCTTCTTGAAATTCTTAAGAAGACAATATAGCCTGAAGAGTGTAATCTGAATAATAAGTTTCCAGGTCAATTCTTGAACACACAAATCTATTTATAAGGCGTAATAATTTAAAACTTCTTCTTTGAGTGTGAAATGTTTGTTTAATGCAGTGTAATTTCAAATTACTGTGGTACAGTCTGTGCAAGCAGCAAATGTAAATATCCTTAATGTCTCCAAAGTTAATTCTCTAATACTTAAGTTATGACATGAAAGATTACTGAAGTAGAACGTGTCAAAATGAGTTGTCATTGATTCATTTTGTACAATTAAATCAAAATTTTTTTCTAATGTCTCTCAAAAAAATCTTGAATTCTAATATTTGTGCAATATCTTTTCAGACATCTTATAGAGCTTCATAGATGTACAATGTAACTGTAGATTTCTAGAATTGCTCAAGTTATGGCATAAAAAATTGGTATCCATGGCTTAGTTTTAGATGCAACCACTACAGCTTCAACAACATCGCTGCCAGATTTCGTTTGCTCTTGCTTTTATTTTGTATTTTAACGTGTCACATTTTTATAAGTATCAGTCAAGGTGCGCTACTAATTGAAACATTTAGACAAAAACTCTTCTGTACAACTTGTAAGTAATCAAAGTTTCAAGATGCTTATGCAAGAACGCTTCTTCAAAAATTTCCTCGCTATAAGAATTTGTCTGGCTCTTAAAATTACTGCAGGATGTTAACTAATGAGAGAAGATAGATTTCGATGGAATTATAAAATATAAAATTTAACAAATTTTTTGAAACATATTTTGGAATTTATCTTCCTCAGTCTTCTATCAAGTACATTTAAATACCTATAAATAAGTACTTTTACAATATGGAGTCAGTGTAGTAATAAATCATCCTGATAGCTTAATAAGCATTTTGTGCAATTGTTCTTTTCTCCAGATTACTCATTATTTAACAGTAACAATATATTTGAAAAGAACAAAACTAAAATGATAAAGTTCTGTAAAGGGGGTGAGAGGATTTTTGGGAAAGATGTGGGAAAAAGGAAATTAATGTTTGAAAACTTGATAAAAAGCGTAATGATGTATGGAGTGAAGATATGGATGGACGGAGCAAGGGCTGTTAGAGGTTGTGCAGAACAGGTATGGGAGGTGGGTGTTGAGGTTGGCTAATGAGACTCGGGGATATATAGCCAAAGAAGAAATGAAGGTAGGTAAGGTGAGAGTGGAGAGGCGGGCAAGCGAACGTGCGTTTTGAGGAGAGGGTAGAAAGCATTGTAAAATCTTGGGGGAATGCTACAGATAGATTGAGGCAAGTAAGGGGCGTTATGGGCAGCAAAGGGCAGAAAGGACGACGATGAGAGAAAGCAGGTACAATCTAAAATACAATGAAATTGTAGTACAGGGGCTACCAAAATACCTGACGACGCAGGGGGAAGGGGTTGGTAGCCAGGTTTAGGTGTAGGAATGAAGAAAAGGCCAACAGATATTGGATAGAAGATGAGGAGAGGGGGTGCAAGCTGTGGGGAGAGGGGTGGGAGTCTACACCATCTGCTGGTGGAATAGTGAGTCGAGGGAGGTGATGGATTGGAGACAGGTGTTGGAGGAGAGGCTGGGAAAAAGGGTAGGATTTTGATTAGTTATGGATGATGTTCTTTTTTGTAATATTGTAATCTTTTCAAAACAATAAATTATTATTATTATTATATTTCAAAAGAATTTTTCTAAAACTCATTATTTTTAATCTGATTCATATTAAATATTGCATCTTTTAATGTTAAGTAATATAAGAATGTTCCAATATTTATAGAGTAGAGATATGTAGGGCATATGTTAAAAAAGAGCTGTTATAAAAATATATTTTATGATTTTCCTCAAAATGTCATACAAAATATCGTATCAGCAACATTTATTGTAATGATAAGAAAAAAACTGATTCAATAAAATCGATTAAGCCATTTATCCTTTATTAATTCCAAATAAATATGTTTGGTAATCATTTCTTTAACTGATAAGTTCAAATAAAATAAAAATCCCAACATATTTTCGATTACCACAATTTAATTATGACCTAAAGATTAATTTAAAATTTTTTGGCTTTAAAGTTTTTTAATTTTCTCAATTTAAATTGTTTTGTATCAAAGTTAGACATTTATGAAAGCTTTAAAAAAAACTTGCACAAAACAATCTGGTATTGTTGAATGTACTTGAAGAGTAAATAAAGATTAAAGTCTCTGATAATCAAGATAACGTTTAATGGACCTGTAAAATTATCAATAAAATTAATAAAACAATCAAAATTGATTATAAACTATTTGGAGTATTTCGAAAATTACAAAATGTAATTGAAATAATTTTCTTTTTAATTTTATTTCTCTCTAACACACCACAACTGTGTAAATAGGGTCAGTTAAACGCAGAATTTTACAAAAATAACCGATTTAAAAATAGGTGGCCAAATCACGTGAATCTCCTTATGTTTGATGCAACAACTACTTTCAATTTAAATAAACCATCTTATGTAAAACGTTTTATGTAAATCGACTACCAAATAATTTTATCTCATTTTCTCACCTTGTTCTGGCGAAATCAAGTGGGTAGACGAAGCAAAGAGAAGTGGCTCCGGCAGCACCACCAGAGGCCAAGTTTCCTAAGAAGTACCTCCAGAATTGAGTTTTCTTATCAACACCGCTCAAGAAAATTTGCTTGTATTTGTCCTTGAAGGCGAAGTTAAGGGCTTGGGTTGGGAAATAACGGATTACGTTGGCCAAATTACCACGCCAATAAGCTAATACACCTTGTTCTTTTGGAATACGTACGAAGCAATCGACCATACCTATTTAACCAAAAAAATTTAATTTTTATTTAAAACTAAAGTTAATAAATACGATTATTTAGAAATACGATAGTTATGGAGATAATGATTAATAACTGGAATGTTATTTTCTTTTTAATTTTATCTTTCGCGCGATGACGTAGTCAAGGGTTATGTAATGATATCGTTTTGAGCCAAGATTTTTCGAATCGCGTAAGCAATTGTTTTAAATTTATCCTGGGAGGCTTTGCTTATCACGAGTGATTTTTTTTTACGTAAATTGAGGTTATGTAAAAAATCATGTGCTTTATAAATTTAACAAGTTCAAAAAAAAATTATCTTTTTTTATATTTTAATATGATTTTAAATTTAGATTTTATTTTAAAGGTATAAAGAACCATGGACTTGAAACCTAATTAAGGTTTATAGGTTAAGGTTATGTAACGGATAGAAAACGGCATGTGCGCATGGCCACCCTTGCATTTCTAGAACATTTCGATCAATATGAATAGACCACGTTTTTTTTTATAATTTTAACCGATTTTCAATGATATAACCATAGGAAAAGTACTAAAAACGATTCAATTAAAATCACGTGGTTGAATTTCTCGGTAATAAAACGTGGCTGGTGATTTTGATGACGTGTAGCGTCACTTATTTGCGAATATTGAATTTATTTCGTTTAATTAACTATTCAATTCAAATTTATTCCCCAATTTTAATCAATAAATCATATCTTATCTAGAGTACTTTAAAAGGAAGTTAACTTAAAAAAAAAATGGTTATGTAATCATCAAAGTAGGTATTAAAAAAAAAAGATGGCCGCCCTTTAGGGCGGTTTGAAAAATTAATTTTTTATTATTTTTTTTGTTATAACTAACTCACCCTTGTAACGTTGAGCTTCTGAGATTTGTTTAGAGATGTGTTGTACTTGAAGTAAAAGTTTTACTCTTTCAATTGGGGCTACAGCGGTTTTGGAAATGGCTGCGGAAATTCCTCCGGCGAGGAAATCCTTCATGAAAGCAATTGGATCGGCGAGAGACATCTTGTTTCTTTTTTTTTTACTAGTAGTAACTTAAAAGTACTTTCTTAGTTAGGGTATGGTACAATGCTTGTGAACGGATCGCGCACCGAACTGCAAGTGGGAAGTGGCGGCGGTTTTGTACGACGATATGCGCGGTCATGTGCTGCCATCGTTGCCAGACCCTGAGATCGGCGGAAATAGCCGAACTACGTCATCGTGATTTACCATCTCGTTTCAACCAATTCCGATAGATCAATAATCGCATTTTACTTCTTTCTCATCGTACGTCCAAGTTCAACGGTTGTAATTTGCGTATGCCGTTTTCTTGGCCAGGTATATGGGTTTCTCAATGGTCTCTCTCTTGTACAAGTCAAGTCCATGTGCCCTTTCGTCATCTTCCTCTTCGTTCCCTACATTCTCCACATGCATTCATCTGACCAAGACATTCAGTTTGTTAACTACATACACAAGATAGCATTCAAGGTGGTTGAAAACACGTGTTTGTTAAAATAATTTGTTTTTCGATTTTGATAAGAAGACGAATTAGTCATTAGAAAGATATTTATATATCAAAATTCCATTTAAATAAATTAATTTTGACGTTTTAAACGTCAATTATAATTAAATTAATCATTTGACGTATAAAATGTCATTTAATTAAGTTACGTTGTGTCAAAACAATAAGAATGAAAAAAAACGGTTTTTTGAAATAATTTTTAAAACTAAAAATGATTTATTTCTTAAACTGGAACTAAATGATGATATATTAAGATTTGATTAAAAAAATGAATAAATTTATTAAGTAAGGTTATGTGTCAAAAAGATTGAAATGTCAAAACATCACTGAGAGTATTACAAGGAGTGAAATATCGATTTATATCTTAAATTAAAGGAAATTATGATATTTTAAGATTAGATTAAAAAAATTAATGGTGTGATAAAAAAGTTCAACGAAAGAAAAGTGTTAATAAAAATTGTTAAGTGAGGTTAGGTGTCAAAAATTTAAAAAAAAAACTTGTGAGCTTATTTTTAGGAATTAAAAAGCGATTGATGTCTCAAATTGAAGAAAAATAATGATATTTTAAGATTGGAGTAAAAAAATTAATAGTTTGATAATAAAGTTTGGAGAAAGAAATATATTGATAAAAATTATTAAGTGAGGTTATGTGTCAAAAAGGTAGAAATGTCAAAAAATCATTTTGAGCGTATTACAAGGAATTAAATAACGATTTATATATTAAATTACAGGAAATTATGATGTTTTGAGATTAGATTAAAAAAATAAATGGTATGATAAAAAAGTTCCACGAAAGGAATGTGTTAATAAAAATTGTTAAGTGAGGTTATGTGTCAAAAATTTTAAAACGTCATTTTGAGCTTATTTTTGGTAATTTAAAAACGATTTATATTTTAAATTGAGCCTAAATGATAATATCTTAAGATTAGATTAAAAAAGTAATAGTATGATAAAAAGGCTTCAAGAAATAAATTTATTAATAATTATTGAGTTGGGTTGAAAGTATCAAAAGGGTAAGTATTTCCAAACATCATTTTGAGCTTATTTTTAGAAGTTAAAAAACGATTTATACCATAAAATGAAGCTAAATAATGATATTTTAAGACTGGACTAAAAAAATTAATAGTTTGATTATAAAGTTTGGAGAAAGATATGTATTGATAAAAATTATTAAGTAAGGTTATGTGTCAAAAAATTTCAAAAGATTTTCAGCTTATTTTTAGGAATTAAAGTGAATTATAATATTTTCTAGAAATAGAAAGAATACAATTAACCAATTTTTTAAATAGACATAATAATCTTGAGGAAAACGAAGAAAAAAGGTTAGGACTCCTAAAATTGCAAGGTATCATAAGCAATAAAGAATGTAAAGTCCATAATATACTACCCAATAACGAGAGAAAAAACAAATATAAATTTACAGGGTTTGAGAGTGAGATATGTAATATGAATACAAAGAAGAACACTATCACGTTATAAAGATGTGCTTACACTCAACAACCAGTACCAATTAGAGTACCATATTGGTGGAACAAAGAAATGGACGATGCAATAAGAGACATCAAATTCAAACGAGCATAAACTGGTACTAACAGGCATAAGGCTTATAAAAAACTTGAAAACCCTAAAACGCTCGAAAAATGGGACGACTACTTTAAGTAGTTCCTAATAGAAGATTCACCAAACTTCCTGAACAAACAAGAGAAGGAAGAAAGTGCTAATACTAGCAGTTGATAGTGTGGATGGGGAGGAGCATCTTTAGTTTGACTTGTACGCCACACCTTATCAAAGGCTTGAGATATGTAAGAAAAAGCTGCAGAACTACAGCTTTTCGATGACCTTGGAGAGCATAAGTAGCAAACTGTTGTTCTGGGTTATGAATCATAATGAGCAATTTTCCTAATAAGCTTCTACGATGAACCTTGTTGAACTCCTTTGCCAAGACGAAGTACAAAAATCAGTAATTTGTGAATATAGGTTCGCTTCATAATCATGTTCATTTCTTCATAATATGAATTTAATTTCTTTTAATTTAATTTAATGATCAAAAAATTAAATTAATTGACCTTTATAATTATAATCAAAATTTGTTAATAATATGGAAAAATACTAATCATTTTGAAATACTTCATAGTATTCCAATAAAGGCGATTTTATTGACCTTTGACATGATTTCATTGCCGCGATTCCCGTCGTCAAGGCGAAAGTAAACCGTTATCGCTGAATTACAAAAAAAATTTAAAACGCATCAGCTCATTGTGAAATTGTGCAATACTTATTTACTATATCCGTCGATTTATGCGCAAATTGATGCCATATATTTAGAAATTATAACAAATACACTATTTGCTATCTTCCCAAGTATAACGTAACGTTTATTACGTAGACGTTATGCTAAATGCGTTAATTATAACGCAGATACCACTTCGACCTTGACTATTGTCTAAAAGCAAAATTTTCGAAAAAAAATTCTTTTTAATTTTATAATTGCGGTGCGAAATGTTTGCTTAAACAGGTGTTTTAGAAAAATTATAAAAAATTTGGTTCTATCTTATCGATTTAGGTTGTAATAAAATATATAAGAGTGAGGGCGTTTGTATTACGTAAAAGTCAACGAATGCCATTGAAAAGAAAACCGTTTCTTATCGAAAATGTGATAAGTAGACTACAATAAGTCTCAAGATAAGGATAGAGTGTCGATTCATATGACTTTAAAAAATTAAATAATGGCATACTTCTTATCGAGAGATTAGTTTTGACTTCGTAGTAGTATTTATTTTAATTAAAATGTTTAAATTTTATATAGTTTTATATACATTCTTATCGAACGTAATTAATTTTTTGCAATTTTTTTTTTAAACCCGACCTTTATAACATACACATCATAGGTACAACATTTAATTCGCACGTGTCAACAATTTAAGGCCGTCTAACTCCGTTGACCGAGCGTTTTTGCCAATGGTACGTCGAAAATATCGTTGTTTGTCCTCGGCCGTTGTTGTGGTTTGTAAATAAGGTCCCCCAATCCAAATTTAACCGGCATCATATGGTTAAATTAAAGAATGGGACTCCCTTTTGCTATAGAAATCAAAAAATAATGATTACGCAACGAAATAATTCTTTTTTTCGTTGTACAAACGTTCGTCTATACATAATCGTCCACGGATTTTGGCATAGACGTTTCGAATGGACATGTGGGGGTCGTTTATTTTTAGACTTTGTTGTATAATGCACTTATTGGAACAAACGCCAAAACGGTTACGAATTTCTAACGTTAAAACTTTTGATTTCAGAAGAAAAAAATTTACCGAAAATTTAGGGGCTAATTTTATAATTAAAACAACTTTTAATATAAAGATAATTCAATAAAAGTTAATTAACCTATAAAATTAATCCTTTTTCTATAATTAATTTAATTCTATAATTATTTTTCTTTAGTTATTTCGCTTGTTGTATATTTTTATTGAACTAAAACTAGAACTAATTCTAGACCTAGAACTAGAAAGTTTCGGGTTTAGTGTTACATTACATAAGTAACTGCGAAATAAATTACAAACCAAATATAGGTTTGGAATATAACGAAACAAAGAGTGGATTTGATGTTGTGGACAAACTCAGTTGGGAATATAGTTGTTGTAGAACTACAAGAAGATGGCCATTAACGTTGTTTAGGAATTATTTGGATATTGCGGCATACAATGCGTTCGTAATTTGGAATAAAAAAGTCCTGTTTGGGCTGAAAATGTTTCTGCCAAAAGACGAAGGAATATGTTCTTACAAGAACTAGGTATGTCACTTATCTAACCCGAAATAAATCGAAGAGCATCAAATATTGAAAAAAATGGAAAGGGAATACCGAACAGTATAAAAATTGCAATTGAAAGTACGGAAAGAAAAATAACCGATGACCCGAACCATCAGCAACCTAAAAGCGTGGACGATGCCATCAATGTCGAGGAACTGACTTAAAGCATTCCATAAAATGTGATTCCTGTACTAAATTTGTGTGTACTGTACATAGTACAAAAACGATAAATGTAATTTGTACATGCTGGAAACAAGATGAAGATGGAGAATGATATGTTTCTTGTTATTCTCCATCATATGTTTGTAATATGACTTATGATTAAGAATATTTGCAGTAAAGTTTGTAGTGGGCGAGCAATATGTTGCTAAAATTAATCAAATATCTCTTTCCACCAGCACAATTCAAAATGGTATTGAAAAAATGAGTAAGGATATTTTAGACAGTCATATCTGCACTAAAAGAATGTCCTATGTTTGCACTGCAGTTGGACAAGTCAACTGACGTGTCTGCTTGTTCACAATTACCCGCTTTCGTTCGCTACTTAAACGATGATCGTGTTAAAAAAGAATATTTGTTTTCTAAATCGCTACCCACCACTATGCGCGGTGAAGATGTTATTGTCACTCTAAAACAGTTTATTGAGGAAAATGATCTGAAGTGGTCATCGTTAGTTGGCGTATGTATTGACGGTGGCCCTTTCATGATGGGTGTTCGTTCTGATTTTTAAATATTTGTGAAACAAGTTACCCCACAATACTTAACTTATCATTGCATGATACATCGATATGCCTTAGCTATTAACACGCTACTCTCAAATTTCCTGAGGGTGTTTAATGACATAGTGAAAATTTGCAATCATATTCGGATCAGTGCAACAAATTTGAGAATTTTCAAAGTGTTAAGTCATGAAATTGTTGCGAAATTTGATGCACTTGTGTTCTACACCGAAGTATGCTCGCTGTCAAGGTAAAATGTTTTAAACAGATTGTTTGAGATGCGCAAGCAAATACCATTGTTCTTTGAAAATTGTAAAACAGAAAAGGAGATAAACTTTTATACAAAAATAAAAGACAAAGTATTTATTCGACTCTATTTATCGTATTTGACTGACATTTTCAGTAAAATTAACATTTTATATCACTCATTACAAGGAAATATGAGCAATATTCTGATAGTGCTAGATAGGACTGCTAGTTTTTTGCAAAAACTAGAACTTTACAAACGTAGAGTTCAAGTTGGTGACATATCGATTTTCACGCACTTGTCCGAAACATTAAGCGCATACAACGAAGAAATATCCTATTCTATCTTTATCTTCTTTGATAAATTCGTTGAACCAATATTTCCCGGACATAGAGAACCGTCAAGCTTTATCCTGGATACGGAGACCATTTTCTACAGATGAAGAAATCTTCAAAGAGGAAGATGTTTTAGCTAAACAAGTAGAATTCCAAAATTATGACTTAGCTACGTTTTGGACAAAAAACCAGGGCGAATATTTTATTTTAGTCGACAGGGCAAGAATTCTAGTCCCATTTTGGGAATACATATAGATGTGACAAAATGTAGGAATCGGCTCAGCGTAGAGCATGACTTACGATATCTTTTATTAGAAAGTAAACTAAACAAAAAATCTTGTTAAGAAGAAGCAACAAAAACCATCCCATTAATTATTATTCAAAATGTATGTGTAATATATTTAATAATAATAACATTATTATAGTACAGTATGGTATTTTTTATGAAAGGGTAAATCCCTAGTCCCGGGCAGGTCATAAGGGTAGTGATGGTGAAAAGGTTAAGAAACACTGGTCTAAACTGACCTATTATGGTCGTCCATGTTCATTCAATTATTTTGGTCGTATAAGGGTTAAACCTGTAAATGGTAGTTCTGGCTACTTTCTTTATATGCAAATGCAAAGAAGATGGGCCAAGCAGAACATACATTGCTAGAGTTGTCGTTGTGCTTATCGCACCAGAGATTTCCAATCCATCTACTCGTTGAATTCGTAAGTTTACTGATAACTGAAGTCTGTCGGCCTGTTCTATACCAGGCTGCTGCTCCGTATAGGTCGAACCAGTGATGGGCGCTGGGTAAATACCCGGCGGGTAGGTATTTATAAAATGGGTATTTACCGGCCCAGGGTAAATACCCAAACAGTACATATAAAAGTGATACAAGTAAAAATATAACAGATTCGGACAAAAATGTAGAAGAACATGATGAAATGGGCGTTGAAGACAAGGAATTGTCAACGATCGAAGACGTATTATAATCAGGTAACCACTGCTCATTCTTCATTCTTGCGACGATGATCCGCCCAGTTCCAGTTGAGCTTTGCCACACAGAGCTAGTATAGTCCTTCAGGGATACCAAATTTTTTTCACAAAGACTAGGTTCAGTGTTACTTCTAGTGTTAATTATACTTTTAGTTGCACCGCAATTATCTGAATTTATAATACAAATAGATTAAGTTATATGGATTTCATAAAAAAAAGTAAATAAAAAATTCGAATAAAATTTTAAGTTTAGTTTATGGCGCCATCTATAATCTATTTAAACCCCAACTAATTTTACAGAAAACTATAAATCTTTTTACCGACATCTACACGAAAGTGATATTAAATTGTATTTGTCGGCGTTGTTTGGTTAGGTTAACTACAAAAAGGTCGATTAATATTGTAATTTTAAGTGTTTTCTACTCGCATTTACAATGGTTACTGTGGATTACGTTCCCCAAGTCCTAAAAGAATCCGTTCGCGTCGAAGTACCGAACGCCAACGTTTTGGTTATAGGTGCTGGTGGTATAGGATGCGAAATTTTAAAAAATTTAGTTTTATCCGGGTTTCAAAACATAGAAATAGTAAGTTATTAATTTATTTTATACGAGATGATTTCTATTTTCTAATTATATCCTTTTTTATTAGATTGATTTGGATACAATCGATGTGAGCAATTTGAACCGGCAATTTTTGTTCAGAAAAGAACATGTGGGTAAACCGAAAGCCGTTGTGGCTAAGGAGAGCGTTCTCGCATTTAATCCTAAGTTGAATATAAAAGCATATCATGACAGTATTACTACGTAATTAAATTTAAAAACATTCTTTTATTAAAATAATAATTAATTTTTTTTTGTAGAACTGAGTATGGAATTAATTTTTACAAAAAATTCCATTTAGTTTTAAATGCCCTAGATAATCGTGTGGCTAGAAACCATGTTAATAGGATGTGTTTAGCAGCTGATGTTCCCCTCGTTGAATCGGGAACTTCCGGTTATTCGGGCCAAGTCGAATTTATTAAAAAAGGATTAACTCAATGTTACGAATGCGAGCCAAAATCAGCGCAGCGTAGTTATCCTGGTTGTACCATTCGAAATACACCTAGTGAACCTGTGCATTGTATTGTTTGGGCCAAACATCTTTTTAAGTAAATAATACAATTATTTAAAATTAATTTATTTTAAAACTATTATTTAATTATTAGCCAATTGTTTGGAGAAGCCGATCCTGATCAAGATGTTTCCCCCGACACTGCTGATCCTGAAGCAGTGGGAGATGCAGGAGATAAAGCACTCAATAAAGATAATGAGACTGAGTCGGGGAATGTTAAAAGAACTTCAACGAATCAATGGGCTAAAGATATAGGTTATGAACCTTCAAAGTTGTTTAATAAATTTTTTGAGGACGATATTAAATATCTTTTGACAATGGGTATGATTTTAATTCAATTTATTGATTAAAAATAATGTTTTGAATAAATTTAGATAAATTATGGAAATCAAGAAAACCCCCGAATCCATTGTCATGGTCGGAAGCGGCATCTCACGAAGGCGACACCTTGCAGACAAACGATCCGAAAAGGGAAGATATGGAAGTTTGGAGTGTTGGAAAATGCGCAAAAGTTTTTGCATCAACAGTTTCCACTTTAAAAGATGAACTTGTTAATAAAAACTTTTTAGTTTGGGATAAGGATGATAAACCAGCCATGGATTTTGTTACAGCTTGTGCTAATATAAGGGCACATATTTTTACTATTGGGCAAAAATCCAGATTTGACATAAAATGTAAGTTTTATCTCATTCTTAACCCTTTTAGTGCCGAATTTCATGATTTTACTAGGGTTTGGGAAAATGTTTATAAAAACCAAACAAAAAACAATACTTACATAATTCAAAAAGCAGTGTATTAAGGACGAAATAGAGAACAAAACAAACAATGACACTAATTTTTTCTATATTCATTGAAAATTATATAAATAGCAAAGTTATAAAAGATAAGAAAGAAAGTAAAAGTTGAGTTCTCTTTTACAAATTGTATTTGCACATACGAAAAGTAATCTTTTTATCATAACTTTATATAGACCATTTATTACAAAGTATATACTTTACATTTCCAATATATTTTGTAACAAAATATACAGGGTGTCTCACGTAACTGGTTCGTTAGAACTTTTTAAGGTTCCACTATTCGTAGTGGTTTGAAATTTTGGTAGCATGGGTTGTTCATTCTAAATTTTCGATCTAAAATATTTTCAAGATGGCCACCCGTTCCGGTCTACCGGAAGTAGACCACAACTTCGTTATTTTAAATGGAATGCTATAGTTTTTATTACACCTTTCAATTATACGTAAAAAAATATGTTGACTTTGATAAAAGTTGTTGGTACCTAGCGTTTTTTGTTTTCGAGTTATTTTGATTTTAAGTGTTTTTTGACAAATTTCACCATGGTCTTTAAAAGCCCATATCTCAGCTAACGATCATTCAAAAAAGCTCTGTATTGGCACGACTACTCTACAGATGCTGCCAAATAGATTGTCATTTGTTGTATCAGAGAATCTTATACAGCGTGGTCAAAAATTGAATTATCGTTTCTCAATATTCAATTGCGAGAAAGTCGAAAATTTTAAATGGAACACCCCATATTTCTTTACCCTATCAGAAAGGGAATTTAATTCTCTACAAATTATCTATAAACATTCCTATACCTATTTATTGTAGTTTCCCTGATATTGGAAAATTAATCAAAATCAGACATAGAATCCCAAAGCCCGTTTGTGTTTTTGTTAGCAGGCCAAGACATTTTGACAGTTCATCGTTTAATTTATTTAAATTATTATTGGTATTATTTCTACAATTAACTATGGTTGAATAACCTTTAGCTTGCTCGCTTTTATTTACCAAAAATAACCAACAGAAAAACGAATAAATGAAACAATGAAAAACAACAATTTAATAACAGAAATTAGAATGAATAACATATAAAAAAACAAAAACTTAAAATTATAAAAAAATTAAAACTGTTCGATATGCTGACCATTCACCATTAAACATTTTTCAACTCTTCTTTCGACTTCTACGGTTGTGGCCCGTAGAAGTTGGTCGCCATCAATAGTACGTAGTGCACGCATCACTCTATCACGCAACTCTTGTCGTGTGTTGATCGGTGAATTGTACACTTGATTTTTTAAGTGACCCCACAAATAAAAATCCAATGGTGTTAAATCTGGAGATCGTGGAGGCCATTGCCATGAATATAAAACAAATTTAAAATATCGGCGTTGGAATAATTTGCCATGATATACAATGACTTTCACTCGTGATCAAAAGTAAGTAACAACAACAATAACACAAATATGGACCAAAAACTGTCAAAATTCCATTGCCTTCTAATAAAAAAATCAAACGTTTTCCCGCATTCCGTGCATGCTTTGATTAATGTCCCAATATCAGGGAAACTACAATAAATAGGTATAGGAATGTTTATAGATAATTTGTAGAGAATTAAATTCCCTTTCTGATAGGGTAAAAAAATACGGGGTATTCCATTTAAAATTTTCGACTTTCTAGCCATTGAATATGGAGAAACGGTAATTCAATTTTTGACCACCCTGTATAAGATACTCTGATACAAGAAATGACAATCTATTTGGCAACATCTGAACAGTAATCGTGCCAATTTAGAGGTTTTTTTAATGAACGTTAACTGAGATATAGGCTTTTAAAGAGCATGGTGAAATTTGCCAAAAAAAGCTTAAAATCAAAATAACTCGAAAACAAAAAATGGTAGGTACCAACAACTTTTATCAAAGTCAACATATTTTTTTATGTATAATTGAAAGGTGTAATAAAAACTGTAGCATTCCATTTAAAATAACGAAGGTGTGGTCTACTTCCGGTAGACCGGAAGTGGTGGCCATCTTGAAAATATTTTAGATTGAAAGTTTAGAATGAACAACCCATGCTACCAAAATTTCAAACCTCTACGAATAGTGGAACCTAAAAAAGTTCTAACGAACCAGTTACGTGAGACACCTGTATAATACTGTATGACAAAAATAAAGAATTACTCCAAGGTACATGGTAAACACTGGATGGACACAAGTAATTGTTATAAGTAATATTATAACATTGCTGAAACAAAATTATGTTTTCATAAATATATTTGTGATATAATTTTGCATAATACTTCATTATAATAACATAAATATTTATATAGGGTGATACAGTTTTTAATCAGGCAACTTTACCTAGGACCTAGTACTTGTCAAAATAACACAAGTTTTTTTTATAAAGGGTGTATCTGAATGACTGCATCAAACTTCAAGGGGTGGTTCTTTAGTGAATTTTAAGGGTACTTTAATACAGGGTGTACAAAAAGTATGGAATAATGGTTCTACAGCCTAAACTTCAACTTATATTAAAAAAAGTTTTAAATAAAAGTTACTTGAAACTATTTTCCGCATATCTTGGCGTAGAAATAAAATAAAATCCTGACGGCAGTCTGAGTTTTTTTTTAATAGAACACCTGTATATTTTAAGGTTTTTGGATTCCTTTTGACAAGGTGTTGCAAAATGCCATAAGGTTTTAATGCTTTAAACTGCATAGTTTTCGAGATATTGCAACAGTAGTGTACAGGGTGAGCAAATTTGGGTGTTATTATAGGCTATCTCAGAAACTATAAGAGATACGAAAAAAGTAAGTGCCATGTCCCGGTCTCTTTTTTCGAGACTAATCCAATCCCGCAAACACCAAACCTCTATCTTCTTTTGTTTTTAAGTTATAGACAAAAAGTCAAATTTTCGTGATTTCAAAAAATGCTCATATTTCCTTCATTTTTGAAATTAGAGAAATGGGGTTGATACGTTCTTAAGGTACTTTTTTAAGTAGAATATACTGCCGTTGAAAAATTTTAAAAATATTTGATGATTTTTGAGATACAACACAAAGTTGTATTTTAAATATTAAATGAGCCTAACGAAAGGACACATTGGTATTTGAAAAAATTCAAGTGTTATTCGTTACTCATTTGTTTTCTGAATTAAAAACAATTGAATGCAGTCTTATTATGGCAAATAAAATATTAAACAACTTTTGTATAAAATGTTTTTTTATAAATTCAACATTTACCGAGATATACCGGGTGTCCCTCAAAAGTGGCTCACCCCCATATTTTTTTTTATTATTAGTGATATCAGAAAACCATTTGGAATGCATAGTTAGGCCGTTAAAACGGATTATTACGACATGAAATCATTCTTTTTGTACTTCCGGTTACACCGGATGTGAGTACTAATTTCGCTATTTTTTTTAAATCTATAATTTTATTTCTTCAGTTGGGTAGACAGTATAATTTCACATAACTTTTACTTGAAAAAATTTTCATGATCGCTTATAATTTTAGAAAAAAAAAATTATTTTCGTTATTTTTTAACCTAGTAGGTAAACTAGTTTAACTAGTACCTAGTACCTTCGGAAAATGTACAAAGTAGTACAAACTACGTTATGTCCCTCTTGATTTGCTATTCCTTGAGCAGTGATCACTGCTATGCTTTAGTTGATGGTTCTTTTTTAATAATGGTGTAAATTAACAGTTGTATTAAATTAGTTTTAAAAGAAAAACGCTATCCTACAATTAAATTTAATTCAATTGTAAGTTCAAAAAAATTAATTTTCTAAATTTTCAAAATGTTCTCGCCTCGATTTTGACATAATTGTATCTTGGGTATTGTCGATCTAACGACTCGACGTTTTTGCTGCGGAGATATTTAGGTAATACAATTTCTAACTCGATTTATTTTCTAATACCTCACGAGACCTTACTGGTGTATTATACAGCTCATTTTTGATTTTGCCCCATAAAAAGAATCTAAAGGTGTGAGGCCAGGTGATCTGAGAGGTTTTAACCAAAATAAAGTAAACAATCCAAATTATAATGTACAATGGACATTGTAAGTTACTATCAGCTACAAAACATTTAGTGTAAAAGAACAAAAAATAAAGAAAAAAATAAAAACTCAAAAATAATTGAATTAAACTTAATTGTTTGATCGCATTTTTCTTTTAAAACTAATTTAATACAACTGTTAATTTACACCATTATTAAAAAAGAACCACTGACTAAAGCATAGCAATGATCACTGCTCGAGAAATAGCAAACCAAGAGGGACATAACGTAGTTTATACTATTAACCTAGCTACTATGCGTCAAAAGTTGTAATACATTTTCCGAAGGTACTAAAACGTTATAAAATAAAGAAAATAATTTTTTTTTCAAAAATTATAAGCGATCGTGAAAATTTTTTCAAGTAAAAGTTATGTGAAATTATACTGTCAACCCAATTGAAGAACAAAAAATTATAGATTTAAAAAAATAGCGAAATTAGTACTCACATCCGGTATAACCGGAAGTACAAAAAGAATGATTTCATGTCGTAATAATCCGTTTTAACGACCTAACTATGCATTCCAAATGGTTTTCTTATATCACCAATAATAAAGAAAAATATGGGGGTGAGCCACTTTTGAGGGACACCCGGTATACTATATTCCATACATAATGAGCACTCTGTATAAAAAACTTGTGTTATTTTGGCAACTACTACCTCCTAATAAAGTTTCCCGATTAAAAACTGAACCACCCTGCATTTAGATATTGTAAATGTGTAACATTTTGTTATTATAACGCACCTAAATAATTTATTTACCATTCGTGATTACTAATGCACACACCATGCAACCTTTATTGCACCTATTGCAAATTGTGCTTGATTTTCGTTTTGGCCCACCATCCTTTCTGCGCAAACTCTTTCCAGTCTTTCAGAATGTTTTTGTATGCTTACGCAGGGTACATTTGTGGATGTTTCAGCCAATGGTCTGTCGGGTGCTATTTTCTTTATTGTCATCCATTCTCTGGTTATCGACTGAATAATATCGATTATAAATTCGAGTCGTGTTTTGTTTCTGCCTTTTGTATTTTGCTGATTCAAGATTAGGCAAGAGTAGGCATTGAACACCATTCGGGAGAAAATGGCGAAAACTACTTTTTTCCAATATTTGAAACCTCTACTTTCATCCAAATAGGAATACAACATCATGTCTGATGTGTGTACGCCTCCGATATGTTTATTATATTCATTCACAATTGCTGGTTTTTCGACCTGTCTCGGTTCATTCCTTTTTCTAATTGTAATTGTTTTATTTTGAGCCTTTTTGTATGTGGACAAGAGAAAAACATTCTTCCTTTATGATTTTTTTTCCGTACTTTTGCAATTTCTGCTTCATAAACGGTGGAACATATTTTCTATTACTGCGGGTTGTGCCGGTCAAGTATGTATGTATTTCGAACAAAGATCTTGCTAATGAGATGCTTGTAAAAAAATTGTCGGCTACCACGTGAGTCATAAGATAATTGCCCATATTGAATAATTTATGTACTGCGACGTAGCTAAGACCGTTTTCTCTTATTTCTTCTTTATGTGATTGATCTGTGGCTCCTCTATAGCAAAAATATAGCAATAATGGTTAACTGCAACAGTCAGCATTTATGATGCTTTTTATTTGGATTTCGATTCGTCAATACTCAAATGTTGATAAGGCCAATAATGATATTTGTATTTATTATTTGCGTAGGTAATAATTTTTAATAGAACGGCAATAAAGCCCTAATTTCTGACACTGTGGTTGTACTGGTTGTCTTCCACTCTGCTGCTCTGGATCTTGATAGTACATTGATTTTGTTGAGAAACTGTCTGGCATATCGGTTTGTTTCACTCTTCAATAGACTCAAAAATTCTTCGGTAAAAAGTAAATCGAAATGTTTTCTGGGTGTGGAATTTCTTGGTGGCATATGTTTAATCCTAGTAGTTTCCATAAATTGTGGGCAATGATTATTATCTCTGTCATTAGCCACGGTAACTTCACGGAAATTGTTCAGTACTTCTTCAATATCGTTTACCTCAAGGTCACTATACTCTGTTTTTAAACCAGGAGGAGTAAACGCGAAAGTCAGATTTACACTAGGAAAAATCACCAGAAAATATCACTAGATATTTTGGCGGTAAATTTAAATTAATAATTATTATTATTTATTTATTTACTTATTATTGTATTTATTTTCGTTTGTTATCGTCAACACTAAACATACAAATTAACATTGAAGTTATGAGTGTATTTATTTCAAAATATAATAAAGAAGGGTTTAAGAACACAAAATTTACAATAATGACACGAAACTGTCGAATTGTCAATAACCTAACCTTCAAATTCAAAATTGCCTGTGTGTGAACCTTCCTCGCATTCAACCAATCACGTGCAAGGTCAATCTGGTGACAAATTTAAAATACTCCTCCTGGTTTAAAAACAGAGTATAATTGCCAAAGAAAACTTCAAGGTATAATTAATGTTTGTAAACAAAACTAACCTTACCTAACATTCAGCGTCTGAAGACACAGGGCTAAACCCGAAACTTAAAAATATACAACTTAGCGCTGAATAACAATTAAAACTAGAACTAACACTTGCACTAGAACTATACTCTGTTTTTAAACCAGGAGGAGTAAACGCGAAAGTCAGATTTACACTGGACAAAATCACCAGAAAATATGACTAGATATTTTGGCGGTAAATTTAAATTAATAATTATTTACTTATTGTATTTATTTTCGTTTGTTATCGTCAACACTATACATACAAATTAACATTGAAGTTATGAGTGCATTTATTTCAAAATATAATAAAAAAGGGTTTAAGAACACAAAATATACAATAGGTTCGTTCCAACCGCACTTTTGACTGCCAATTGACAGTCACCAGCCTGCGCAGTTGAAAAGTGCTGTTCCATCCGACCCGTGGACGTGCCGCGGACTGGTCGGCGACAAGTTGTCATGAGTTCCAACGACCGTCGGACGCGTTCATGTACGCATCCGCGACAAGTCAAATGCGTACCTGGTTTCGACGATGTACGGTTTGTCACGTTCTTTAGCTCTTGCGCATAACAGCGCATAACTCATTTCCAATTGTGCAGCCGGTCTGTTTGTTTCTCTTATGGGTATCTTTACCATCAAGCGTGTCTGTCACGACGAGCTGAGTCTATATCTATGTGGCAAACTACTGGCACTATTTCTCTGAAAATTTGTATATAGCGTTTATCCGAGGTGCTCGTTTCAGCTAAAATATTTTCAGTTTTCTCCAACTTCCGGTTATACCGGAAATGGACCCAACTTCGTTATTTTAAATGGAATGCACCAATTTTTATAGAATTTTTGAGATCCACACTAAATTTTAATACAAGTTGATACAAGTCATCATATGTCTAGAGTGCACCATTTTATTTCAGTTTTTTCGACAATTATGGCAGATGCAACCCTTCATAATGAAAGTAATTTTTCGAAATTACAGGAGTCCGGCCAAATATTCTCAGGGTTTGCACAGAGAGGACCCATAGGTTACATAACCCTTTAAAAGTTTTTTGAAAAATTATGCAGAGTTGTCAGAAATTTGCCCCGAATTTCCCTATCTCGAAAAGTCGAAAATTTCATCTTTTTAAATGGCAACCCCAATTTGGGGTTGCTTTTCAAGTATTATGTAAGCTGTGGGTCGTCTCTGTGCAAACTTTGACAATATTTGGCCGGACTCGACCGTAATTTCGAAAAATTATATTTATTGTGAAGGGTTGCATCTGCCAAAATTTTCGAAAAGACTGAAATAATTGAAAAATGACATGAAAGACATATGATGACTTATATCAAATTGTATTAAAATTTGGCGGGGATCTCGAAAATTCAATAAAAGTTGTTAAAATAACGAAGTTGGGGTCCATTTC